TATACAGTATATAATCCAAAAGATTTATCCTCCCAAATTTCTCATCTCCTATTCCTACTCTCTCTCTTATCATTTTCTCCTTCTCTCTCTTATTCCTCTGCAGATCGAGCGAGGAACCTAGCTTCGAGGAGAGCGAGGCCGGGGTTGGCGGCCGGGCGGGGCAGGGGCTGGCGGCTGGTGGCGGCAGGCTGCACGTAGGGCGGGGGATGGCGACCGGCGGCGTGGCCGTGCGGAGGGCTGCGCGGCAAGCGGTGGCCTGCGGCTCTGCCGGAGGGGAAGCAGGAGGCGGCAGTGGGGCGCATGGATATGTGATGTTTTCTTCTTTTTTTTTTTTTAGAATTTGTGATTCTAGATCTAAGATGTATTTGATTTGCGTGTGATATGAATATGTGATGTATTTGTGATGTAATTCCTTTTGAATTTGTGATGTATTTGGAGATGATCGATTTGAGGATTTGGACATATCCTTTTGTTTTGTGATCTATGATGATTTGGGTTTTCATGATTTGGGGATGGAGTGAAATCAATATTCAATGTTAAAAACAATAAAAAAAAGAAAAAAAAACTAGCAACCAGACTTGGCCTGGCTCCATTTTAGTCCTGTATTTGTGGTCCCAGTTGTATAACCGGAACTATAAGAGGTTACGAACCGTGAGTAATGCCCTTTTCTCTGGTAGTGTCCCTTTGCAGTTACAAATTACCGTTTCTCATTTTGACTTTATCTTAAGTTAAACCCTATCTTTTGACCATCAATTTTTAAAAAAATCATATTGTGCAACATCATGATATTTATGTTTTTATATTCTCACCAAGAGAATTATTTTCCGTTCTCCACTATGTTGTTTCTCATGCTAGCTTATCGTTTATTAGTCAACAGATAGTGAATTAAACTTTCGATATGATTAGCTAAATGCCTGCTTCTCTACGGATAAATAAAATGTAAAATATCATAGTATTGCCTAAAATAAGTAAGAACATATTATTCGTTTATGTCTAATTTAATTTTTCTGTAGGGAATTTATATGTAACTATCTATTTAAATTTAGTTATCTAATATTGAGAAGTTTAAGGTTACTGTGCAAAATCTGCAATGGGAATGGGAGTAGGTGGGACGGCAGATTTACCGCTACCGCCATTGGACCGCTCTTTTTAAGTAGTACGGATGATTCAAAAGGTTTTATTTTTATCCTTCTCAACTACTATACACTAAATGGCTAAGTATAAGTTATTTTGTTATTCAAGTTATTTTTCCAACTTGTTCTCCTTTGGGCTTGGTAAGAAATGACACCTTCTCAACTTGTTCATCTTTTCTAATACTACTCTATAGATAGGCAGCTAAGTTGTTTGACTATTTTCTCTTTTTTTTTCTAGATAATGGTTTTTCTTAATTCGATCTTATACGTAATCTAAAATGACTCATGTTTACAATCAGACATAGTAGTGCACAAATTTTTTTAGATAATTAGTAGTGCATAAATAGTCAGTACAAATGACATATTGCTCTTGCTCGTGTGTGCTAGTATGGCCCGATTTAGGGCTTGTTTGATTCAGCTTAGAATTATTATAATCTGGATTATTAGTAGTAAGCTGAAACAAATATATAGCTTATTATGATATATTATTATAATCTATAAGCCATATTACTATAATATGGTAAGCCACTCTAAAGATGTTTTTTAATTATTGGGTGGCTAACAACTAACAAACAGATAATAATCTAAATACACAAATAGCTAGCAGCTTATTCTATGTCGGCTTATTATAATGTAGCTTATGTTAATTTAGTTCTATAATTTAGATTATAATAATCTTAAATTGAAACAAACATGGCCTTAGATAGCAAAAATTTTTATTTTAGAGTGTCACATCAGATATACGGACATACATTTAAAGTATTAAAAAATATCTAATAACAAAATAAATTACAGATTCCGTCAGAAAACTGTGAGACGAATTTATTAAGCCTAATTAATCCATCATTAATAAATATTTACTGTAACACTATATTGTTAAATTATGACACAATTAGGCTTAAAAGTTTCATCTTTCAATTTACACATAAACTGTGTAATTGGTTTTTTTTTGCCACATTTAATATTTTATACATATATATAAATATTTAATGTGATTAGTAAAAAAATTATTGTTTCGAGAACTAAATAAGATCTAAGTGAAAATTTGCAATCACAGCGTAGGCTACAAAAGCATGCCGACACATCAGGACAGGCGTCCGCCACAGCCGATTCCGCGGTTGCGTGGTGGGCGTGGGTGTGCGTCATTGCAGGTGGGGGGCCTCGAGGGTCCTGCCGCCACGCCACGTTTTTCCCAATCTTTTGCGATTGCATGGCGAGCGCCGAGCGAGGCCATGGAGTACTGGTACTGGATAGATACGGGTTGGTAAAGCGGTGGTGCACTGGTGGCCTCAGCTCAAGCGTTGTAGTAATTCCGATGCTTCTGCTAGATTGTCAACACGGACGAGGTACCCAGCATTAGCCATGGAGCTTTCTCGCTGCAGTGTATATGTTACTTTCACCTTCTCATATCATATAATAAATCATTTTATTTTTTTACATTTTATTAAGTTTGATTAAATTTATAAAAAAATAGCAACATCTAAACCACAAAGTAATTTTATTAAATCTAACATTAAATATACTTTGATAATATGTTTATTTGTGTTGAAAATGCTACTATATGTTTATAGGCTTAAACAAACTTAAACAAGTTTAATTAAAAAAATTAAAACAACTTATAATATAAAATGAAGGTTGCAATAGTAGGCATTAGTTAGGTTCCAATGTTTCCCTTCTTCTATATGGTAAGAGTAACTGTACGAAGAAGAAGAGGAGAGAGATTAGAGAAATTAGGGCCGTTTAGCATTGAAGCTGTTCTACCAAAATTTTAGTAACTTAGATAGTAGATAAGATAGTTTAGATTGAAACTAAACATTAGTAGTGTCCATGCTTAATTTGGCCATATTCTAAGATCTTTTTCACCATACTACTAATTTTTGGCTTCATATTAATATCAAACCAAACATATCCTAGCTAACTTTGTCCTACTAACAAATTGGTAGTGCCATAATTTATCTGTAATTTTTGCACTTCCAATGAATGCGTAGGTTCATTGTAGGGTAGAAAATAGGCTCTTACTTTTATTTTGGCTAGGCCTTTATTTTATTTGTGTGTTGTAAAAAAATGAATATTTATTTGCATGACGGACTAAAATAGTAGAGTGAATATCTGGGTATTTGGCTCAAAAGGGCTATATTTGCTTAAATTGATATTCCAGTCCCGTTAATACCTCAACCCTCCCTATTCCATAGGCTATATATACTCGTCTATGGCTAGCTGTGATGACTACTTGCCAACAAAAAAATTCATAGACTATATATTATGAATATTTTTGTTTGTGGAGCTTTTAATTAACCAAAATCAGTGAAAATATTAGTTTTTGAACCTTCAAAATTCTATCGACTTGCCCAAAGACTGTTTAAATTTTGTACCATAAATATTGCAATTGATTATTCTATATAAATAAATTAAAAAATATCACGAACATAAAAAATACTTGAATAATTGCAGGTTACTACGTTCTTATAGAAGCAACTTTTTCTACATGTTCATGACAAAGACATGATATCCTGATTAAAGAAAATTCTGATCAATTATAATTATAATTTTGTTTAGTACTTTATAACTTTAGTAATTTATTATACACTAAAATCACTTTACTTTTACTCCATGTTAGTTCATTTTTACATAGGCCTTCATCATTTATGTTTAGCGATATTTTTTTAACTTCTTACCCATTCCTGAATGGTAAAAAATGAATATTTGGCTAGGAGTGAGTACCGTTAGGGGTGACAATTTTTTTTGTTTGGACCGACTACTGCCTATACATCATGTGACAGCCTATATATCATGTAACAGATTTTTTTAGCTTTCTATCATGCAGATTTCTTATCCTTTGAATGAACATCTAACGGATGACATTAATATACACAACAAAATACAAAACAACAAAAAAAAAAACAGGCCACGTGGACAATCTGAAGCTCACGTGGGCTTAAATGGTCTCAAGTAGATTTCAAACTTACATCGTAAATACACTAAAATTACATATGTAATTTTCAGACTTACATCGTAAACACGCTAAAATTACATATGTAATTTTCAGACTTACATCGTAAATACACTAAAATTACATATGTAATTATAGTGTAAGTACGATGTAATTAGTACGTGTGGGATCATAAATAAATTAGCATTAAAAACACGACTCAAATCAATAATGATGGAGTCGGCAAGAGTGTAACACGAATCTTAACACCATCCAACGTACATAAATCTGTAAGATATAGGATTCAAAAATCTATCGGCAGATAGATAGCAATTCCGTTAAGAATTTCTTGTTTGTACGTAACTGTTGGGCAGTGCTACACCTTTTGCTTTGCTTTACCAGTCCCGAAACAACTAGTATTTCTCTTCGATACGGATATACACTACCGCCACCGTTTTAAAGCATACCTATTTCTAGCGCAACGACTTATCCCAAAATAAATATATTTCTACACCTACAACCTCATATCAACCAACCACAAGCATTTTTCATTTAATTTTTTTACCTATATGTTCTATTCTTAACCAATTATTTTTTTTAATAAAAAGCTAATATTTCAGGATGGAAGAAATAGTGTCAATAGATCATTAAAAATTATGACCCCTCCTAATAAGGGCAACAATAATAGTGGACTATAATTCAATTACAAAAGAAAAAAAAGTACAAATTACCCTCTTAAACTATTGCGGTAGTACGATTTACCCCTCTAAACTACGATACCGGACATTTGACACCCTAAACTCTTAAAACCGAATAAATTACCACCCTAACTCAATTAGAAGCGGTTTTCAGCCTACGTGGCACGCATGTGACGGTACAATCAGCAAAAACAAATAAAAATGGTGGGGCTCACCTGTCAGCGCTTTTTTTTTTCTCTGTTCCCCTCTCTCTCTCTCTCTCGGTGAACAGGGGCCGCGGCTGGCGGGCGGCGGGCGGGCGAGGACAAGCACCTCTCCAAGTGGACCGACGCCGACGTCGACGAGTTCATCGCCTCCGATCCCGTCTACAGCCCGCAGGTCCTCCTTCCCACACAATCCGTCTCTCGCTCGTCCGGCCGCATGTCAAACCACGTGATTTTTCCGATCCCCTTTTGTTTTTGCAGCTCAAGGCGATGAGGGAATCCAGGAAGTCCGCGCTCGGCGGGGCTCTCGTCGGCGGCACGCACCTCGGCGGCATCGCCCTCAAGTACTCCAAGGCCCCGCACGATATCATCACCAATCGCGACCTATCTAATCAACTGCTGTTCTGTGCTGTGCGCGTGCGTTTGGTGCCTGATTTGGTTGACGAGGTGCCTGATTCTGTGCTGTGCTGCTTCGCCGGTTGACGAGGTCAGAGAGGACGGGGAAAACCGGCAGAGGTTGAGGACGATATGCGTGATGCGCCGAGGCGGCCGTTCTTCGCGTGCGCCGCGGCGGGGAGGTGGGTGTTCGTCGCCGGCGGCACGACGAGGAGAAGAACGCGCTGCAGACCGCGGTCGCGTACAACGCCGAGGCCGACGCGTGGGTGCCGCTCCCGGACATGGCGACGGAGCGGGACGAGGCCAGGGGGCTCTACGTCGGCGGTGTGTTCGTCGTCGTCGGCGGCGGTGGAGACGGAGCTCGCTCGGGCAGCCACGACGGCGCCGCCTCCGCCGTGCACGCCTTGCTCCTCGCTGCCGCCTCCACCATGTACGGCGTCGGCGGTGGCGGCGGCTTCAACGCGCCCTCCACGGCATTCGCCCGGCGGCCGCAACCAGGAGGATGATGACGACGACGAGGAGGAGTAATCCGGCGAGGGGCACGTCCTCAAGGCCTGGGCGAGGAGCCCGGAGGAGTCTGTCTCCGCCGCCGACTGCCCGGGCGAGCTCCACCTCCGCCTCCGCCACCAGCCGATCCGCGCCGTGCACGCCTTGCGCGGTTGCGCGAGAGAGAGAGAGAAGAGAGAGAGAGAGGGGAAGAGGGGAAGAAGGGATGACATGTGGGTCCCACCATTATTTTAAAAGAAAATGCTAACTGGGTTGCCACGCGTACGCCACGTAGTACAAAACCACTCTGGATTCGGTCGAGGGGGGTAATTCGTGCGGTATAAAAAGTTCGGGGTGAGTGATATCCGGTTTTCAGATTCAGGGGTAATTCGGTTGACCGTGATAGTTTAGGGGTGTAATTCGTACTTTTTCCATTACAAAATTATACATAGGAGAAAGATAATAAAACTAATGATGTAAGCTTTAATGTAAGAGTAACTTATACATAACTCAAGAAAAAAAATAAGTGAGAGAAAGGAAGAGGGAGTTTGAAAAAGTAAAAATAAATTTATAACTACTCTCTCCATCCCAAGAAAGACAATCACCACCTAAAACAATGAATCTGGACATAAGATTGTCCAGATTTATTGTACTAGGAGTTTTGTTTGGTAGATGGAGGGTATTTCCTCCATACTCATAAAGTCGTTTAGAATGATGTTTAAGTCGAACCTTGGAAATATAAATTATGAATAACTCTTAAGTTTCTTAAGTTTGTTGAGTTTGAAAATGTAAAAATTATATGTATAGATTTGTTTTGAAAAATACTTTCATAAAAGTATACATATATAACTTTTCAATAAATATTTTTATAGAAATAAAAAGTCAAAGTTGTGTTTTAGAGACCGTGTCGCTGTACTAAACGACTTTTTTTTACGAGTATTGCCAGTATGAGGGAGTATATGCTAGTTTTACTACTATTACGTAATTAAACTTGCTCTCGTAAACGGGACACCAACCAGCATAGAACAAAATCTCGGAACATGCAGTGTGTTGTCGCTGCTTGCGAGACAAGCCAGATCCACTACAAACTGCTCCAAGCTTGCCGACGACGAGCGCGTACCATCCCGTTCCCGTGATTCACGCAATCACGCTTGACGAGTCGTCGCGCAGCCCCGGTAGAGTCGTACAGAGAGCCCCCCGAAAAAAGAATAAAAGGTTGACGAATTATACACGCCAATACAGCTGTAATCAACAGAAAAGATCGGCGGAACGGCACGACCGGACTACTCCAACTGTCCAACACAACGACTGATGAACAAGTTAGCGGCGCAGAGGATCCACTCGTCGATGCGGCTGCTGGAAATCGGCGTCCTTTGTGGAGCGTTGTCAGCACTCAGCAGCAGAGGGCGATGAGCCCGCCAGACAGCCAAAGGAGAACCGCGAGGCGGGTGGAAGCGGAACGCGAGGCGCTGACCCGAGTCCCCACCTATTATTCCTCGCCAACACCACGTCCCCACCCAACCAGACCAACAGTAGCCAGGAAAGCGTGGACACGGCACCCGCAAGGCCCACCCCACGTACCGCGCCATGTAAAGTGGTGCACTGTGGCTGGTGCCAATGCCAATGCGAAACACATACTCCCTCCATGTAAAAAAAACTTAACTAATAGATAAGATAGGTCTAGATTTATCGTACTATGGCTGCATTCAAATTAAAATTGAATATGCAAAACGAAAAATCCATTAGAACGTGATTAATTAAGTTTTAATTATTATAAACTTGAAAAATAGATTTATCTGATATTTTAAAGCAACTTCTATATAAATTTTTTTCATAAGATATACCGTTTAGCAGTTTGAAAAGCGTGCTAATGAAAAACGAGGAAAAATCTGTATCTTTATGAAGTTAGAACAGGGCCTATAAGAGATCACATTCCCTTTTAGATTAAGTTTTTTTACATTATATAATAGAGTAAAGTCAACAATTATCTTGTAGTCACCACTTTATATCAACTAAATAAAAATCAGAACGATAATTCTGCTATATGATCGAATATACTCGCTTCGTCCTATAATATAAGAGATTTTAACTTTTTGCATATACTGTTTGACTATTCGTCTTATTAAAAAAATTTAAAATTATTATTTATTTTTGTTTTTGACTTACTTTATTATCTAAAATACTTTAAGCACAACTTTTCGTTTTTTATATTTGCACAATTTTTTTAATAAGACGAGTGGTCAAACAGTGCAAGTAAAAAGTCAAAATCCCTTATATTATGGGACGGGGACCGAGGGAGTATTTATAGATCTAACAACCTACATAAAGTAAACACAGGTGATGTTTCACATCATACGATATCAAAGAGCTATTTATCTCTATCATAATGGGCAAAAACACATTAAATTAAAGATATCTAACAAAAGAACGGATACTTTGACACACTATTTAAACTAGATGATATCCCACGCTTTATTACGGGATATAAGTTAGATATTGAAAAAATGATAAAATCGATTAAAATATTATGAAAATGATTTGAGAATAATGATTTAGCATGTGTATGTTTAGTTTTAAAATGAAATAAATTATAAATATAATTACTATATGCTTACATGTTGAGCTTTGTGTATTTAATGGGTTGATGTGGCATGTTTGTATGTAGGTTGTAGGAGTGCTCATAAATAATATGCTTGCATGCTGAGCTTTTTAGGTGTTTAGTGGATATTAGCTTTATAGAAAGAAGGGATATATAAGTAAGAAAGATATGCATTCTTTTGTTTTTTTCCTATATTTAAATAGTGTGTTTTTCTTTTCTCCATGTTGACAAATGTTCTATTCTCTATATTCGTGCATTCTGACTTCTCAACACTCCCTCCGTCTCGTCTTATTTTAAGTGCAACCATAAGTTTCCACGTCCAACTTTTTATCGTCCGTCTTATTTGAAAAATTTTTATAATTAATATTTTTGTTGTTATGAGATGATAAAACATAAATAATACTTTACTCGTGACTTATATTTTTAATTTTTTTATTTTTTTAAATAAGACGAACGGTTAAAGTTGAACGCGGAAAACCATGACTGCACTTAAAATGGGATGGAGGGAGTAGTAGACATCGATATAAATTGATCGAGTAGTCGAACTTGACATGATGGCTTACATTGTCAAATTTTAAGATATGCGCATATATAGTCCAGTCCGAATCATATCATATCATATAAATCCTATAAACCTGCCGACGGGTACTGTACACTGTTCACTCGTCCGCACGGCCACGTTGCCCAAAAAATCAGCGCTGTTCGATCTCCTGCCCAGGCACGCGCTTGCCATCGTAACCAGCCACCCAGCCGCTCGCAACAGGCGGAGGAAAAAAAAGTAGCCATCAAACCCATCGATTCCTCATTCTCTCGGCTGCCTCGTCGACTCCGACGGTGCCACCGTTCCCCTTTCGTCTCCACCTCGCGCGCGCAGCTCACGACGCTCGCCCTTGTCGCTTCCTGGCGAGGCCATCCGCGGCCGCTGTTGCTTCTTCCTGGACGCCGCCACCATCTCCCCACCCCCACGCGGCACCCCGTCTCGCCCTCTCTAGGGTTTTCTCGGATCAAGAATCGCTGTAAGCCACATTTCCCCACCCGTGCTACTCCCGAATCCGCAATCCCCATCCGAAGATCCTTGCGACCTCCGCCCCAAGAGTCCTCGCCGCCGGCCAGCGCTACCATCTTCTCGCAGTGCAAGCAGCCATCGCCTTGTCGCCTTACTTGCCGGCGACCCAGCGCCGCTTCGTCGTCGTCGAGCTAGCGGCGCCGCAGCTCTCCCCTGGAGCCATTGTCCTGCACCACCTCCCCGCGGACACGGTGCCGGCTGCAGCCGTAGTCTTCTCGTGGATCCACCGGCCAACACCGCCACCAACCATCTCGTCCACGGCCATCTCCTCGCTTCTCATGGCTGCTGCTCGTCGGCTCCTCCACACCTCTCCAGTTGGTACTGCCATGCTCTGTATGTACTAATGTTTAATTAGGTTTCTTTTCTTTTCCTCATATTGTTGATCTGCATACCTATTCCTTTTTGCAGTAGCTGTTTTACTGCTCAGTTTGGCTTTGCTTTGCTGTCTATGCAGGTGCGTAGGATACACACTGGTCTGGGATATCAATAATGTTCCTCTTCCATTGTTACAGGTATGGTTCCTACTAATTTCCATAAAGATTTCTTTTGATTTTTAGATAAAGGATTATAAATTAACTCGGCCTCTGCACCTTTTAGAAGGTGTACACAGCCAACAAAAAGATCCAATAGTACATAAGACTCAATCAAATACTTTTGATATGTTTGCTAGCCGTACAATCGGCCTAAAGTCCAAACAACAATCATGTTTTCCTATTTCTTTCACAGTATATGATTTCCCATTGTTTTAGTGATGCATAATAGTTTTATATATCCTGCTGGGATTCCATTTGTTTAGCAGCCATATGTGATTACAGCACATATTTTCATTTTTACACATAGCAAAATTGCATGTACAGAGGGATATTGGCTTCAAATTTTTCCCCATGTAATTGTATCATGTGTTCATATACCTATGGTTAGTGCAGTATGTCACGAAACCATGCACCATGAAATGTTAACTTATAAAAAATCATTGTGCTATTTGTCCGATTGCACATGCTCTATTTCTGCTTGCATAGGAATAATTAGTAACTGCTTTGGTGTACATAAGATGATTGTTTTTTGCCGCATGCTTCAATGTTTCTAATTGGCTTCACGGCGATACAAATGAGAAGAATGAGGTGCTCATTCAACCTGGAAGATGATTTACTATTGCATAGATAATCTTCATGTTTAGTATAGAAGGCACACAATTGAATTTGATTGCAACCGTTTGCAATGATTGCTTATATTACGAGTCCTATATATGGACTATCAAGTTCATGGTCTTCAGTAAGTGATATATTTGTTGAATTGCATGCATAACACCTTGCTTTTGTAGGTTTCATGGCTTTGCAGATGCTTTTGTAGCTTTCATGTGATGACGAGGGCCTTCATTTGTGCGAATATACACGAGTTGCTGGCATTTCTTCATTTTGCATAGTACAAACTCTGCTGGTATGTGCAAATGAGGCCATATGGATGGTTCATCACCATGAGGCTTCAATCCATAGTAACCGGCAAGGTGATAATTAAATTTGTTCTAGCATTTCTTTCAGTAACGATGTTTATCAATAATACTCCCTTCCTGTGACTCTTAACAACTAGCATGTTACTAGCAGTAAGTGTGGCTTTCCTGATATCTTCCGCAGGTTGCGCGGTTGCACTAAACAATAGGACTGCATTTCTGCTCTCTCATCTGTTTGTGTTGTTTGTTCATCTCTCTTGAACAGGTCACAAATTTATAATAACAGGATTGATGTGCAAATCTGATTAGAAAAGGGAGTAAACTACAGTGAGTCTTCCAAGTTCTTATCTCTGTGCCGGCATCACATCGGCTTTGCATTCTTAGACATTTCATTCCGATTATTTGCTTTTTTCACCCATTACATTTACTCATAGTTTCTCGCTTTCCTTTCATCCCCTTTTCACCGACCAGGACAGATCATGACTCTTTTCACTTTTTACTGATGACATGCTTCCTCAGTTAATGATGCTTTTATTGGTAGGGCAATCTTTTCATATTTGAGATGTCTTTCCATCATCATGCATATTATTTTTATTCGTTGTTACCTCTGTTGTGGTATAGTTACAGAATCATGCAAAAATCAATATTCTCATATTTTGCAGATCCGCTGCTTCTTCCACTCCATGCGGTACACCTGTGAAATGTGCCTGCTTTGACTATTTTGTATACAACAATACAAGTACCCACCTCTTTCCTCTTGACAAGTGCCCACCTCTCCATCAACCCCTTTCCTTCTCTCTAGGTGAGTATTAAAGGTGCACATGAGCTAGCTATATAATTTTTGGTCTTTCTTCAATTGACATGCGTAGAAAAGTTCTATTAGTTTCTCTATTAAATTGTCTATATCCAGCTTTACCTTCATATCACATCCAGGTAAATTGTTCCTTTTCCCTTCACATGGTGCATCCTAAACTGCCAGAATATATGCCATGTGATACGTCTTATTTTTTGCGTGCACGTGTGGATGACATCGCTATATGCATGACTGTCCCTTTTGGGTATATGCCCAGGATGGCATCAGTATGCACACCCAGCCTTAGAAGCAACACCATTTGTTTAGAAGGTCTGCATTATAGCCGCTAATGTAAATAGCTGCTGTCATATATATGGTGTTTGCTTCTTAAAATTCTTTTGCTTTACATAAAACTGCAATCCAGACTATGAACGAGCACTTATGGTTGAAATCCTATAGCTCTTAATTATTATTACTCTGAATGTCTACTACTTTGCTATGCTTCTTATTTTCAGGGTAAACATGTGCCATGAAAAGTTGCATTAGGTAAGTCTCAGCCAGCTATTGCTGATAATCTGGCATGAGCTACATTTTTGTTAGGCTACATTACTGTTGTTATGGAAAAATGAAAAGGTATTAAACTGGGGTACTATTGTTGCTAATCTGGGATGAGTTAGATTTTTGTTGGGCTGCATTACTGTTGTTATGGAAAATGGAAAGGTATTAAGCAGGGGTACATATGTGTTGCTAATCTGGGATCAACTACATTTATTTCCCAGTTAGGTTCATCTCTAGCAGCATCAGCTTTATAGATCTTTTATCTTAGTTAATCCTATTGAATAGTGCTATTTTGCCTTAATTTTCCTTTCTTATCTTCTGGAATAGCATATCTTTACTTTCCTAATTATTTTCTACAATAATATAACATATGTTGTAAATCATCCTTAGGTGCTGTATTTTAATCTTAATAAAAGTCTGGCACCTTCAAGCAGTCTGCCAACAAACATCTTCATATACCGATATTTTCCATAGTATCTATTCATACACCATGTAACCAATTCGTTCTTCCATCACCTAAAATTGAGATTAATGTTATAGATATATTTTAATGTTTGAGTAATTGTTGTGATAGATATTTTTTTATTGAAGTTTGCCTTTTGGCGTCCGCGGCAACGCCGCGGGGTCCTTGCTAGTACTTAATGAACTTGTAGTCTCCTATAACTTTCTTTGGTACAATATTTCCTTTCCAAGCTCTAGCTGGTAACCATCCGTATCGCTCAATAATATTGTGGTCAGAGTAAAGTCAGAGATAAAACTAAGAGTGGACAAAAAGCTCGAAACTCGTGGCTCGGATCGGCTCGTAGCAAGCTTTGCTTTCATCGATTTGAACTCGTAGTCTTAATGAGTCAAATCGAGCTAGCCTTTTAGCTCGTGAGCTTAATGAGCTAGCTCGCGAGCTGCTCGTTTAGCTCGTTAGTATAAAACATCACCATATCTTCATGAACTTAGTGTTTGTTGACTAGTGCTTAGTCTTTTAATTACATCAAAACTATTCACATTTATTGAGTACTATATTAGTTAGTGTTTATTATTATGTTAATACATAATAAAATGTTAAAATAGATAATATTAATATGATATCAATAAGATATAGCTCGTTAACGAGCCTAACGAGTTTAACGAGCCAGCTCGCGAGTCGAGCCAAGCTAGCCTTTTAGCTCGTTAATATTAACGAGCCGAGCCGAGCAGGCTCGTTAAGACAACGAGCTCAAACGACCCGAGCTGGCTCGTTATCCAGCCCTAGATAAAACACATGTATCATGTCGAGACAAGAGAAAGTGTAAGTCTGTCATACCAAATCTTATACGGAATCAAACGGAATCAAACGTTACACGTATAGTGGAAGTCCTAAAAAGATAAAAAACGAGTCCCAGGTAAGGAGAGAGAAGCAACGTCCTACTCGGCACTACTAGGTCGCATCCATAGTTGCTAGTTCTATTTGGACAAGAAAATATCCGACGGTATAAATACAAGACAACCCCAAATGACAAGGCGATCCAACGAGTGCCACAAGATCCATAGCCACATCCAATTTTATCGAGTTCTTGTTCGAGCAAATCAGTAACAGCTAGCCATCGATCCCATGCTCGAACTTTACACCGCTATACTGACAGACTAGATTAGGTTCTACTCCCTATTGTACTTGTAAGAGATTGTGATTATATAATGATAACACCGGTTCCACCCAACAGGAGTATAGCTATTACCCGTCAGTAGAGGAGCTTGAACCTATATCAAAATCTATGTTTTCCGGTCTCTTTTACCGCAATCTCGTATATGCCCTAGCATCAACGTTTCCAATACTTTACAATTATCGTAGTCAAGTACAACCCGTCAACACTTTAAAATAATAGAAACGTATTCTATGCATACTGACTAATAAATATCATAAGAACTAGTATATTATAATAAAAAATATAAGCATTTCTAGTCATTTTCTAAATTATATTTGGGCGGAGAGATGTTCATATATATATATGTGTGTGTACATCATTTCCAAATCTTCACTGACATTTATTAGTTGGTCTCCTTGGTGTGTAAACCCTGAGAGCTCCTTTTAAAAGCATGCAATAAAAAAAATGTAGGAATAGAAAAAAAAAACATGGGATTAATGTGTCATGGCTTGTGGAATACCACATGAACAATAGAAACATGTAATGTTGTTTAGATATCTCATAGGAAAAATACGTGAAATTTAAGATTTATATATAGACTTGTTAGAGAGAGGAGATAGAGAGAGGGGGGATAAAGAGGAAGTGTATTGAATATATCGAAGGAATTTATAAACATGAAGTGCAACCAAATGTTTGAATTCCATCAAAATGTTAAACACATTTTCCTATTCTTTGAAATTCCTTTCAACCAACTCACGATCTAAAGGTCTCTCATAGGAATTTCTTTCTTTAGATTGGATTCCTCTAGTTAAATTCCCTACTGATTTCCTACCTTCCAAAGGAACCCTAAACTGTGTACACATGATAAGTTTCTGATTATAATCACTATTTTGTTCTTTCCTAACAACCTCATAGTCTCTGAAGTAACATTGGAATGTAACCTGCCATGTACCAGCACGCAGGGCCTTTAGTTTTGATTAACATAGTACAATGCTTTATTTTCGCCTATTTCTATTAAAATTATAAAGGGTTTGTTTGGAGAGTTTCTAACAAGTGTAATTTTTTTCAGAACCAAACATTTTTTTTCCCAAATAGTTTAGATTTTCATCCAGAATTTAGGGAACTGCAATTACATAATCGAGAAAATAAATCAGGAGGCAGAGGCAAGAAACGTATATACGAACCGGTATGATACTAGCTACGAACTATAGTTGCTTCCCAAACATGATCAAAGAAACGTAGCAACTTGCAGGATAGTTTTGTCATAACGTGCTCTTGTCGCTTTTTTTTTTTTTGGACGGAGGGAGTAAGTCCTGTCTGCACGGGTATTCTGCAGAAAATCGTGCCGAGAAATCATACTACGCGGATCGTGATTGCGTGAATACGTCAGCCAGAAGGTTCTTGGGTCAGCCCGTCAGTAGTCAGAAGTACTCCGTATCAGACAGGAACACAAGCTGCACGACGGTCGACGGACATCGACCATCCACTCCACTGTGGGCGAATGGAGAGGCGAAGAAGACGCTACGACGTTGCAAGCGGCATAGGCCCGCCCAACTATCTGAGGCAGCGCCGCGAGGGGCGTGGATCCGGTCAAAAACACGCCCGCCAGCCCGCGCCCCTGTTGCTCCCCCCCCCTCCCCCCCCCCCCCCCCACACATTTGCCACCACGTGCGGCAAGGCCCGACCTGCTCCCGTCATAGCGATACGGCATCCGTGCTCCGGCTTTTCGAGAGGGCGGGACATGTTGGAATTAATAGATGGGCTAAGGTCCATTCGAAGATTAATTCTTTGGAAAATCACAAAATCTCACCTCATGGGATGGCATGTATATAGAGTTTAGTATCACCTTGCTTATTCTAGGAGAGGGGGACCTCCTTAAAAGGGAGGATGCCCTCCTAGCCACTTGAAGTATGTGTGGTGGAGAGAAGGGGAACACGGTCGCTCGCCTCGCCTGGCAGGTGCGCGTGCATGACGTACGTGTCGAATGGTCCGTAAAATTGGCTCCTCACCCTTGCGCAGATGCAGCCTCCTTTTACAGTTTTGTTTTGCTGCAGGAAAATTCGGATTTGTTTTGTTTTGGAAACATTCCGAAAAATCCGGTGCGTGAAAACGGCGTGGAGTCCGGATAAGTTACGCGCGACTTATCCGGTTCGGTTACGCGGAGTGGAGATCGTGCGGGCGCCCTGATCAAGCGACCTATCTCTATATAAACCGAGCCGCCGCCTTCACGCAAAACACACGAAATCAATCTAGGGTTTGCCTCCTCCTCTGTGTTGCGCCGTCGCTCGTAGACTACTCCATCCCGCTCGCCGACGTGCACCTGAGATCGGGAGAGCAGGTCTCCGGAACATCTGCCTTCGACGTCCTGAACCGGGAGAAGGCGGCAATAAGGTTTTTGGGACCGCCACCTCGGTACGTCTTCGACATGTTGCGCATATTTGATCTGTTCATGTTTTACTGCTTAGTTTACATGTGTAGATCTAATGATGCGTTAATGCTAGTATACATATGTAATGTCATGATTTATTTATAGAATATATTAAATCATTATATGTCTATATTCTCAACAGGACCTACCGGACTCTGACGCGCACGCTACCCCAGGCACACGTCCCATCGCTGCAGCCCGCGTCCAGACGAGAGCTGTATGGCTCGGCCGACGCCGACGCCGACGCTCGCCCGACCCACACCGCGCGATTCGATTCGCACGCCCACGCCCACGCACTTCCCGCCGCTCGCGGGTAGACAACCAGTATCCCCTACCGCTCTCTACTCTCTAGTCTCTCCTTTAAACTTCCTGGTGCTGCGGCGCCTTCTGTTTATGCGGACACGGCCAAAGGCAGGGCGGTGTGTCCAGAGCAAAGGGCCGCACGGTGGGTGGCAGGTTGGCAGGCGCCGCTGGGCACAGAATGCAGCACAAAGGCTTTATTAACGGTGTGGGGACTGGGGATTGGCTGAGGACGGCGAGGGGAGCGGGAGTGGCGCAGCGACGCGGCGGAGTGGCAGGGCCCGTGGTCAGATGACATCACCGCGCGCGCGATGGGTCACGTGAGGGCGGTGTAGTTGGCCTGTGGGTTATGGCCTGGATCAGTCTGTACCAGCGGCGCCGGGCACGTTGGGTGACGGCCGAAACTGTACGGATAGCGCAAAATGTGGGGATCCGGACGGCATCGTCCTTGACGGCACCTCATCCTTGGTGGGTTCCAAAATCCACCGGGTGTATAATATTAAATCTTTAGTTTTCCTCGGCCACTATCGACAGTAAATCGGTCCCTGAGAGGCCTCCGATCTGCTACAGTATAACAGTGCCCTTTCCCCACATCAGCTGTCCGATCCGGCAGTCACGGCACATCACAACCGTCCACCTCCCCATCACCTCCCCCAATTCCCAGTCGGTCGTGCCCTAATCCCTCATTTCCTCTCCCCTTCCTACGCGCCGCCGCCGCCGCCACCGCGACTCCTCGCATTCGTCCCCACCACATCCGAGCCAGCGGCCGCCCGCCCGCCGTCGCTACCTCCTCCTCGAGCCAGCGGCCGGCACCACCACCTTCCCACGGAGCCAGCGACCGGCGCTATGTTCTCACGGAGCCGGGCGCGGTGCCATCTTCTCGCGGAGTCACTGGCCCGCACCGCCGCTACCTTCTTCTCCTCATAGAGCCAGGGATGTCGACACCATCGCCGTCTGTGTCCGCTTCTTCGCACAGCTACGCCAGCTTGCGGCCACTACTACACCAGGGTCTGACTTGCTCTTCTTGTGCATGCTTGCTTCTATATACCTTCTACATTGATCAATTCGGGTAACTTATGTTGCAAATATGTGGTTAAGATTTGGGTGTGGGTGGAGCAAGTGTGCCAGCCACTGCACCGCCGTCCACTCCCATGAGAAAGTCAGCTCCATCAAGATGAACGAACATCCAGCCACTTGCGCGCTCCTCCATTTGCTGCCGTATGAGGATGAGGCAGGCAGCTCCAGTTAGGTCACTACTCTGCTGAAAAAAGAAAACTGAGTCCTGGTACCGAATCTAGCATTTGCTTCTTTTCCTTTCAGATCTGGATTTTAATTCACTGGTCTGCCTTTTGTTATTTTTAATTATTTTGTTCTATTGATTAGTCTCATCAATCTTTACTCTACAAATGATGATTTACATGGTCATTATTCCATCCAGAAGAAATGCACAGACTGTTTTACAAGGCAAACATATTGAAGGGTTGTTCTATCTCGACCAAAGTTTCTCAGATTATTTTGCCTGCTGCTGCATTGTAATACTCATAAGCTATATTACCATCATCGAATCCTCATCCGGATACGCAGCTGTGTTTTTGTTGTATAGTGTCCAATGAATCTCTGAGCAACCCTGTTATACTGGAATAAAATTAAGGTACACAACTTTGTTATTGTTTCGTTAAATACTTGCAGATTTCAGAGTTCATCACAAGCTTTCATTTCTTTACTATATATAATCTTGCAGTTGCAGACAGGACACATGACTTTGATCATGGTTTAGCATCAGCTGTCTGGGAATCTTTGAAATTCCTAAAGCTAAATATATAGGACACTCGTGTCCTATATATGCTAGCAGTTGAAATGCTTCACAAACATAGTCTACAAGTATCTGTTGTTGATTAGCGCAGTGAATATTGTCGTAGCCACAAAACTGCACAACGATTTTACTTGGTTTTAGTTTTCTTATTGCTTTTGCTTATATAAGAGTTACGCCATATTACAAATAGTAACTGTTAGCTTTAAATCTTTTTGTTTACCTAATGATTCAACTGGAGGAAAAGTTCAAGCTAGCTACTGCAGATAATCAGTTTTGCTTTAATTACCTTGATCAGTCTGTAAGTGATAATCAGTTTTGCTTTGGTTATGTTTAATGCCTTCATTATTAACTTTGGTTGGAAGTTCAAGCGTCAGTTAAAGTTTCATCTGTTGGTTTATTCACATTATCATGCCATATAATCCTGTGACAAGGCTTACATTTCTGAAGCTTTGTCCTAACATATCTGCAATTCTGTATGGGTGCCGTGTTGTTCAAGAGATGCGTTCTTTTCTACCTTAGTACCAACAGACTTCCGCTTCATGGTTCACTTCACAAATCTTTCTCCACATGTTGTTTATTTATCTTAAACGAGCAGGATGGAATGCTTCATAGGCTGCTTCAAGGAATGGGACGTAAAAAATGTGACCAGCAATCCTATAGTTCTGGTTCTACATATATGTGATCACTGTAAATACACAGCTAACTTGCTTCATGTTGCTCACTGATATTTGTTTTTCTGGTCACTTATGGATGCTTATATTATTTGTTTCTCACTGGTATATCTTTCAGGATAGTTCATTTTATAATAATTTGTCATTCAAATTTTATTTCATACAGATAGGCAAGCCCTCTATTTTCCAGATTGATAGGGGGGGGGGGAACATCGAAAAGATATGCACCTCTTCCTTCTTTGTACAGCTGAAGTGGTGCCTTATGACAGCTCATGTTAGCACACCAACCATACGCAATTTCATCTAATGAACACACAATTGTTCATACTTTGCTATATAGTGGACAGTTACACCTCAAATCCCTCCTAGAATAAATCGAATGAAACAGCAACATACCAGTCTGTACTATGACATACAAAACTATCTGCAGTATGGCCCTTTAGGTCTGTATAGCTCTGTCATTATTGTAAACTATGCATTTTGTACATGTGCTTAAGATTACTAGCTACCTATTCATGTTTTCATGCTATATTATGGTATGACATGTAGATTCATTGTACAAATACCACACTAAAACCTTTTTTTCCCTCCCGAACAGATGGTCAGGTACGTCGTGAACGGCAGTTTATTTCCAAACTAAAATCATGTTTTTTCAGGTTCAACGGAAAAAAAAGCATGTTTCTGGAAATTCACTTTATTTGATTATCAACACCCTTTCACACTGTTAAATTGTTTGATTCCTATCATGGATATAGTATCAATACATATACTCTGTATTATTATAGCACGTGTATTACTAGCACTGAGTTTCTATTATTATTTCACAATTCCTATTATCTTCTTTGTTCTAATGATTTCTATTATTCACCATGCCATTTTAAAATTATTACACCATGTATTCCATGCTATCGAACTTATTAAATTACATGTCCTTTTGCAGAAGAATTTGACATTGGCATTGTGCCAGGCTCTGTTGCTGCTATCCAACCTCCACATAAACATTGTGCCTTATTTTGGTGATATGGGTGCTTTAGGTATAGACCTCTGTCGTCGCTCGCGCCTGCGCTGGCCTCACGGTGACGGCCTCCATGCCTCCGGCCTCGCTGACGGCCGCGACGTGCAGCCGCCGTGCTGGCCTCACGCCGTCCTCCTCCTCCGCCACCGGCCACGGGAGCGCCTCCACCATGCCGCCGTCGGAGTCGCCCACTCGCCGTGGGCTTCGTCGCCGCCCGCACCCGATCTGGCCACGGGAGGGCCAGATCTGCCGCACACCACTCCGGCCGCCTGCTCCCGCGTCCGACGCGCGCCGCTCGGCCTCCTCCGCGCCCCGTCGCGCCGCCACGAACGGCTGTGACCGCCGTCCGGCCGCGCCAACCTGTGCCCCGCCGTGCCAGCCACGGTCCCCGCCAGATCCGGCGTGAGAGCGACGGACCCCGACGCCCCTGATGATGTATTCAATCTATTGACGGTTCCATTCTCGACGAAACAAGTAACCAAATAGTACTCATATTACTCTTCTTCCAATTTGTTTTACATTCCGAAAACTAGTAATTAATCGGGATGAAATCAAACAATGGCTTGGATTTGGAATCAACTTCTTGAGGGCGTCATCCGATAAGACTGGCCTTGCCTTCATACTTGTAGGTGTCTTTTTAATAATGGAAAATTTTTCCGTTTTGGCACCTGCTGAAACATTATTCTTCTTCGTCCCACCATCAAAATTTTTCATCGTCTTTTCCGGTGCTACTATCACGAGGATGAGGGTGTCAACGCCAGAATCATTGATGCCAAGACGTTGTATCCTATTTGGACGAAAAAAAATATCTATTTGTATGATAAGTTATTTCAGATATTTACTTACAAAATAAGTTTTTTTTATAAAATCTAAAATATAGAAAACTAGTGCTTGACACCACAGTAGAGGCGTACTCGACTACAACCGGACCGCACGCACCCATGCTGAGACGAGGGCGCCACGAGGATGAGGTTGTACTTCATTTGCTAGTCGCATTCGATCCAATCCTCCGTTATTATCGCTTGCACATGGACATGAGAGCAGCTCTAGTGTTGGATCGACTATTGCAGTCTACGGAAGACGAATAAATTAATGTTTGGTTTGATAAGTCTATTAACTGTACGCACGTTGCGAGCGTATGTGTTTGTACTATGTTTTAAAAAAAACTAATCATGGGGACCATGTTAAAAAAAACCCAATCATTTAGGCTGTGTTTAGTTTGTAAAATTAGGGAGAAGTTTAGGAAAAGTTGGTAGTTTGAAAAAAAAAGTTGGGAGTTTATGTGAGTAGGAAAGTTTTGAATGTGATGTGATGTGATGAAAAGTTGGGAGTTTTGGGGGAAATTTGGTGTGAACTAAACATGTCCTTAGTTTTGCTCTACTTGCATGTACCAACAGCTACAGGGCAACAAACAATTCTTTACTCGGTTGGTTCGACCATAATTTAGATTCCATTTTTTTCCTCTGACGTACTACTGCTACAGTGTAGTATGGTTCATTTTTATGCACTAAAATCGATTTAGGAGCTGCTCTGAGTATCCTGCACATCATGTGCATGCGCCAAAACTTTAGCTACACCATTATAGAAGCGATTCCAGGCTTATGATGCTCAATCCATTATGGTGAATTTTCTAATTCCCAGTAGTTTGCAATGACCACGAGTGGAATAGCGGATAGTGCGGTATCTCAGCATCCCATCCAGCAGACACTCCTGCATTTGGCTTTATGTCACACTTGTCTCAAAATCTCAAATACTCCTACACATTGTGCTCCTTATCATCACTCGCTTAGTGTGAACTTTTCGGTTTGTCCCACACCTTAGCGCTAGGTTCCCCTTCCAGCGACTGCGACAAGTCCGCCAATGCATTCATTGCCCTGCGGCAGCGGTAAACAACAGAGAGAGAGAGAGAGAGATTATTAATTGACGAATCAGAAGGTCTGCAACCTTAAGATACGGTAGGCGCAGATTAAGGCTATTCCCAACCTAATAAATAATAAATAGGATGATGTTAATAGTAATCCCTCTGTATTTTATTTTAATGTATGATGTATTTTATTTTAATGTATGATGCTGTTGAATTTTTAACCAACGTTTGACCATTCGCTTTATTCAAATTTTTTTTGCAAATATAAAAATATTTATATCATGTTTAAAAAACATTTAATGATGAATCAAGTCATAATAAAATAAATGATAATTACATAATTTTTTTTAAATAAGACGAATGGTCAAACGTTGGATTAAAAGTCAATGGCGTCATACATTAAAATATGGAGGAAGTATTAAATAAGCTGCCACCTATAATAAAAAATGATGTGGCAAGTGAATAAATGAAGAAACAAAAGGAAATCATGTCTTACATGAGACATTGTTTCTACACAATATCCAAAATATCATGTGAGATAAGTAGCATTAAATTTCAGTATAGAATAGTGGTGTTTACATTGGAAAATTAGTGTCTATTACTAGTTCCTTTATGATAGTACTAGTTTCTTGATGATGTGGAGTTTATGTAAACTATATCTAGTGTCTTGGGTTGGGAATGACCTACAGTGCTCATACAATCAACGCTCACTGGTGAAGAAACCATCTTTGGTCGGTCTGGCAAAATCAACAATAGTCCCGGTTCCAAAAAGAACCGGGACTAAATATTGTTTTTACTCCCGGTTATAAAAATTTTGATCTTTAGTCCGGGTTGGTGTCATCTTTAGTCCCGGTTCATAGCTTGTCAGAGGTATGTCAGGGGGCCGAGGATCTTTAGTCCCGGTTGATACTACCAACTAGGACTAAAGATTACAACTTTAGTCCCGGTTGATAACACTAACCGGGACTAAAGATCCCGGTTGAAAACTCCAACCGGGAGTAAATATTTCTCTCCCACATCTAATCGGTTAAGTCTCAGACCCCTCCTCATCAGATCCTCCTCCTCCTTAGATCTAGCTCCTTCCTCTCCTCCCCTTCCTCCTCTTTCTCCTCCCCCCTCCTCCCCTTCCTCCTCCTCCCCTCTCCTCCTCACATCCGACGGCTAGAGAACTGGCGGGCGGCGGGCGGCGAGGCCGCTCGCGACGCGGCAGGCGGCAGGGCAGCGCGTGGCGGCGGGTGGCGCTGCCGGCGGGGCAGCGCGCGCGGCAGCGGCCGACACTGCCGGCGGAGAAGCGCGCGCGGCCATGGCAAGCGGCGGCGTTGGTTCTCTTCGTTTTTTTTAATAATTTGTGATTTGAGAGATGTATAATTTCTTTTATTACAAATTTTTGATTCATTGCATCGTTCTGAGATGTATAATCGATCTATGATGCATTTGATTTGTGTGTAATTTGTTTAAGATTTGTGATGGTTTGTAAGATTTAGGATTTGTATTTGTGATGTGAATAATTTAGGATGTTACATTGATTTGGGGATTTGGGTATATGAATGGCACTCATATTTGGGGATTTGGAGATTTGGTGTTTGATTTGGGTATATACATCCAACTCGATTTGGGAGAAAATAAAAAGAAAATGGACCAACAGCGACTGCCCCTATCGTTTCTTTAGTCCCACTCAAGAGAGGGATCTTTAGTCCCGGGTCCCGGTTGGTACTAAAGATCGATCTTTACTCCCGGTTATTTCATCCGGGATTAAAGATAGCGATCTTTAGTCCTGAATTGGTGGTCTCGGTTTGAAAACCGGAACTATAGGGGGTTACGAACCGGGACTAAAAAGCACTTCTCCACCAGTGACTGGCTTCTTGGCTTCTTTTTAGAGGTGTTCTCGCTCCATTAAAAAAAAACTTAACCTAGCAGTGGGGGTGGTAATGATGGACCCAACATTTTACACTCGAAAATTTAAGGGCTGGGTTCAAAATGGTTTGGACTTGCTTTTTATACATCTTTTGCCTAAAAATATTTGATGGTTAAGTAGGGTCATGAAAGAGCATATATATGGAGCTTGACCCATTACCATCCCTGTCTCGGATGGGTCCCCTCCTATTACAACGAATCCGCATAATCCTTTATCCAAATTCGTTGTACTAGTAGTGTCACATCCCCTTTTAGATTAATTTTTTTTATGAAGGGAGTTCTTAATTGCATTCTGTGTTGTTGGTTTCTGATCTTGTTCACTCTCCGGATTGTACTCCAAGGCGTTGTTCTAATACTTCTGGGAGCAATAAGTACAGTTTTATTCTACAAGACCAGACACGATCGTACTACAATTGAGGATATCCTATCTTAGTATAAAATTGATACTCGGCCACTAACTTCTAAATTTCAGTATGTAATTGTGTCACATCATGCACTAGTTTTATTTTAAATATCATGCAAAGATAACATAATATTTATAATTTTGTCGTATTCTTAGAACTCAATATACAAACAATATAAAATCATTATCTCCACATAATTTTCACATTAATTAAACACATACATCCACCATTTCTATAATGTATAGCATACATTCATTCACATATCTCACAGCAAAGCGAGAGGTATCAACTACTCCATCCGTCTAAAAAAACTTAACCTCGTACTACGACATGACACATCATTGTACAACGAATCTGGACATACGTTGTACTAGAAATGTATCACATCTTATTACTACGTGTGACCCTGCAATTGAAAGATGTGGTGAGTTATAGCTGTATCAATGAACCAAATGATTGTCTAAAAAGTTATGGTATAGCTAATCTTAGACGTGGCAAGTTGGATATGGAAACCAAACAGTACGTCCCTAAATCCGTCCAAAAACCTAGATCATCGTCTACGTCGTGAGCATACGTTGTCCTTTGTTGCCTTTCTTCACTCTTCAATAGTTCAGTTCAGTGAAGCACACCATCCAGCGTCGGACTACGAACTTACGAAGCGGAGGAGCACTAAGGCCCTATTGGCCTAGACTTACAAGTCAGTTTATTGGCTTATATGATTTATAAGCCGGTGGATTTAATGTTCTAAGTTAACTTAGTGGTTGATTCATATATCTACCCCACATAAGCCAAAAAAAGCTTCTTCATCTTAACTTTTGACTTAATAGTGTTAGAGCAGTGGCATAGCTAGCTTATAGTCCATATGGGCACAGGACTACCCTATATTTTAGCCTAGAGACCTTAATCCCTACTATCAAAATTTATGATCATTTGCAAAACGAACTATACATACTAATATATCATGCTTTTTAAACTTGTTAGTTAGCCTGACAACTCTAGAGTGTTAAGTATTTATTATTGCATTTTTGTCAAGTTTTGTCAACTCGTTACTTTTGTGTTTGTTTATACGATTAGATTGGAGCTAGCTGTCTTTTTTTTTTATCATGGTGTCTTATGTTACGATGATTTATTTGAATTAGGTGGTCTTTAACAATTTTGTAAATGCATATTATATTGTATGGTGATATTAAAAATTGTAGCATAAGTAGGCTCGACAAGGACAAATTTTGTAAATTTCGTAGTATATAATTTGTTTTTGCATCATTATATTTGCTATCTACAGGGTACTTGGCCACACCTAAATTTTTTTCATCCTCCATCATGGAAAATAGGACTACCCAACGAAAAATTCCTTGCTACGCCACTGTGTTAGAGTGGCTAATAGCTTTAAAAAAGCCAAACGGAAAAGCTACTTATTTGTTTAGGATTAGACTTTTCGACTTATAAGTTGGCTTATAAGCCTTAACAAAGAGGGCCTAAGACTGTCTTCGGTTAGTGGGGCTTCCCGCACGGAAAACGGAGCGGTCCATTAGTACGTGATTAATTAAGTATTAGCTAATTTTTTTTTTCAAAAATGGATTAATTTAAATTTTTTAAGCAACTTTCGTTTAGAAACTTTTTGCAAAAACACACCATTTAGCAGTTTGAAAAGCGTGCACGTGAAAAACGAGGGAGATGGGTCGAAAAAATTAGTTCTGCATTTTTTCCAACATCAAGCAAATAATGCAGTCTTAGAGAGCGTGGAGGCCCTCAACGTTGCGCAGGAGAAAAAGAGCAAGGAAAAAGTACACGGAAGGTCGCTCAACTTGTCATCGAGTTACAAAATCGTCCCCTAACCGTAAAATTGGATACAACGCATCCCTGGTAACAACCAAATTTGGTAATATCAGCATTGGAAAAGAGAATTAGATCGAAGTGGAGTCGAAGGCGGAGATCGATTCGAGAACAGAGCAAGAATCGGCTGGAGTTCGGATCAGCTACGATTGGATTGGCTAAATCCAAGTCAGACTGGGTTAAGTGATATAGCCGATTCCGGCAATACGACTTGGTGTACGACATCGGGTTGAATTGATGTGTTTCAAGATAATTGCCATGCATGGATAGAGTCCTGAGAAGATAATTGTACCTATTAATTAGGACATTTTATGTAATTTCCTTAGAGATATGTTTGGGCAAAAGTCCGCCGCAAAGACTTATGGTATCTTAGAGTTTGTTAGAGATAAGAGTCGTGTCCGATATGGACATAGTTTGTAATTTTCGGGTATAAATAGACCCCGAACCCCATGTAATCAATTAACACACACGTTCAATACAATTTCGGCGCATCGCCACCCTTTTGCTTTTGTTTTATTTCGACGAGTTCTTACTCTCGGGTTGAGCTGCATCGGTTTCGATCTTCAACGAGAGGTAAAACTTGTTATGACGGCTTGCGTTCTCGGGATTAGTGCTTCCATCTTTATGATACTCTAATCTTGTTTATGTAATTCGTCGAGCTATCATATATCTTACATAATCTCTAGCAATATCGCCATCTAACCCACAATCGGCTAACATCTGTTAATAGAAGGCAGCCGATTAGGTTAGATATCGATGTTGGTTTAGATTATATAAGATATCTACCACTCTATGAAACTTCCAGCGGCTTGATTGTCTAGATATTGTTCTTGTTTTCATACTTAATGCTGCATCAGTTGAGTTTGATCTATTAAGTCGTGTTTAGAATATCAATCTCTAGCCTGCTTTCTGGTTGCCGATTAAGGTAGCATCGGAGTTTCAGCCGATCTTATCTGATTTAACTATATTTTCTCTATATGCTTCGTTGACACGTTAGATCTGCCCTTTATGTCAAGATATTGGTACATCTAAGTATATTAAGCTTTTGTTTAGTATATTCTGCTTGTTTTAACATCTTAACATAGAGTCATATCGGAGTATTAGCCGATACATGCTAGATCTATCTGATCGTCTATGCTATGAACATATATAGTCCTGTTATTAATATATATTTCGATATAAGTAATTTATACTGTCTTGGCATGGCGACCGATCTATCCCAATCACTTGATTTAAGTATATATCGATATAAGAATTATATGCTGTTAATATCTACAGCCGATCGAATAGATTTGGTTCTTTATTATCTATTTGCAATTGCCGATCGATTTACATATGACATCGGCTCAGAGATATATGATATGTCATCGGCACCTAGCCGATCGGCTATCGTTTATAGGTTTAACCGCGGTTTATTTGTCTCTATTTCTTGTTGATTGCAGGATCAAATCAACTGGCACGCTAACACACCCGAAGGCGAGCTTTAGACCTGCACTGGAGTTAAGCAGATCTCCCAGGCCTCGTGTTTTTCGTCAACAATCCCCCAACTTACAAAACCAGTGCAAACAAGTGCAATCAGCGTGGGACTCACGTGGACCCCGCATGTCAGCTTGTCCACGTCAGGAGGGTCTTTTTTTCCCCTCGTCTCTCCCCTCCTCCTCCTCTCTCACTCTTCTTTCTGGGCAGGGCAGCCGGCGGCGGGGAGGAGGTCGCCGGGGCGAGGAGGTTCGACGGGCGGCCGGCGATGCGGCGGCGACGGCGACGGCGGCGCCGCGCCGCCGTAGTAGGAGCCGGGGAGCGGTGGCGGCGTGCAGCGCCGGAGCCGCGGCGGGGCGTCGGGGATGCGGCTCGGCGTCGTCGTCGGACGGGAAAGGGATGTGCCCACCACCACCATCAGAGTAGCCCTCGTCGTCGTTGTCGTCCGAGGGAAAATGTGTGTGGCAGTCGCCGCCGTCGTCGTCAACCTGTTTGATGGCCGCCGCGTCGACGGGGAGAGGAACCACGGCGGCGGGGAGCGAGTGGACCCCCTTCCTTAGGTTGGGGAGGCCCAGCGGTGCAGCGGGGTCGGACGACGGCAGCGCCTAGACGTCGCGGAGGAAGTCGTGCAGCGCTGCGGCGGCATCGCGCAGCGAGGAGGAAAAAGTACAGCCTGCGCCCGCGCGCCGCTCCTTCCCCCGCCACGGGCAGGCAGAGCAGTGCAAAATTCCAATAGAAGAAACCAAACGGAGGCAGCAAAAAGACAGATCAAATGGATTCACCAACTGATCCATTCATCTGCCAGGCCAGCTGGGCTTGGCATATACATTGCAGACCACTAGAACTATAAGAACCTTATCATTGTCATTTGCTAAACAGAAAAACTACTATCTGCATATCTTCAATTCCATGTCTCCAACTCCAAGAACCAGTTTTGATCCCAACAGGAGTGCAGGAATGGAGGTAGCAGAATGCAGTGAGAAGCTGCAATTTTTGAAGGCATCAGCTTCAGCATCAATGGCTTATTCGATTGTTCAGTTCCCAGTCAAGTGGCAATCCATCAAGTACAAGTTGCAGAAACTCTGTTCCAACTTCCAACCTGAAATCCTGAATGTGCCAGGAGACGATGACAGCTGCAATGAAATGTGATCTTTGTTCAGTTTCTTCAGACGGCTATGGCAACAGTAAGTCATATTCAAGCTATTGCTTCTCAATGCAGCGATGAATCTTACAATGGTGGAAGGCTTCCCCCGCCACGCGCGCGCCGCTCCTCCCCCGGCGCCCGCACCCACTGCCCGTGCCCGGCTGCTCCCCCATCGGCCGCCGCCCGCACCCAACTGCTCCACCTTGACGCCACGGCTCGCTCGACCCCGCCGCGGTGCGGTGCGCTGCTGCCTCGTCTCCGCTGCCGCGTCGCCCGTCACCGGCCGCCGACGTTCTCCTCATGTCCCGCCTCGCACTGCCAGCCTCCTCTCCACTCGTTGAAGTCACCGGCCTCCTCCTCCTTCGCCGCTTGCTCCTACCCCTCGGCGGCTAGAGGGGCGGAGACTTCGCCGCTGTCGCCAACGGGGGCGCAGTACAGCCGCCGCCGTGCCGAGGCCGCTCCCCGTCGAGGGAGGAGGGAGACTCGGGTGGCGGAGCGGCGTTGGGCCTTGGCTTCGTGGCGCAACCTGCACAAGAGAGGAGCTGACATGGACAAGCTGACATGTGGGGGCCACGTGGATCCCGCGCTGACTCAGCAGCAACGTCGGACAAAACCGGTTTCAAAACCACCGAGGGACCATTGGTATTGGTTTTGTAAGTCTGGGGACGTGTTATATCCGGTTTTGGGACGATTTTGTAACTCGATGACAAGTTGAGGGACCTTCGGTGTACTTTTTCCAAAGTGTAAACGGCCTGGAAATGGGAGGATGGGCTGGAGCCCATGGGAGCTCAGTTCCAAATGGCGCTAGGGCTAGTAGGCTCTGATCGGTAGGCCGAGTTGGGCTAGTAGGCTGTGATCGGTCGGCCGAGTTGGGCAAAAACAGCATAGTCCGGCCTGTTTGCTGAGAACGGGCTGTCATGAACAAAAAGGGCCAAGCCCATGCGAATATATCTCGAAGTACCAAAGAGACAAGGGCTTTGTGTACTGCACGACTGTTTACACAGCTGCAACGGCGCGCTCACTGCCGCCTGGGGCCCGCAAGGGGAGCCGAGAGGTGCCGCACCGTCGTCATCCTCGCAAACCGTGCGGCCGCGGGCGAGCGGAGATGCCCCGGACCCAACAAGATAGGGGGGAGCCAAAATGGCGCTGCTCTCACCACCCTCCCCGCCTCCTCCGCTCCCGCCACTTCGCCGCCGCCCCGCCTCTCCCACACTCCTCGCCGTCGCGACGAGACCTAGCTCTCTCCTCTCCCTGCCCCACTGCCACTGCGGCCTCCCCCTCCCTTCTACAGCCAACGCACGGGCGTATTCCCGTAGCAGCCGCCGCCGCCGCCGCGTAGCTGCCTCGCTCGGCCAGGACGAACCTGGAGTGTCAGACACAGCTGTCGCTCCTGAGGGAGAAGGGGATTCCGAACCGCCGGCTTCCTCCGATGGAGCCGCAGGCGACATCGCGGCTTCCGCCGAGCAGCCGGAGGCGAGCCCCGAGGACTTGGAGGATATCCGCCAGGTCAAAAGGGTACGCGCCTTCTAGTTACGGCCCCTTTCGCTTGGTTTATGTTTTTGGGATGAGTTCGTGCTTACTTGGTGTTTGGTTCGGCACTTCGGCTGCGGTTGCAGGTGCTTGAGCTTCTTCAGAAGAACAGGGATATGACCTTTGGCGAGGTAAGCAGTCTTTGGACAGTCAAGATAATCCTGGTCGAGTTATTGCCGATGCCCGATGATAACTTACTATGGTGTTCTGCTTCGTTGCTGCATCACAGGTTAAGCTAACTATCATGATTGAGGATCCTAGAGATATAGAAAGGAAGAGATTACTCGGCATAGAGGATCCTGATGAAATCACCAGGGATGATTTGGCTGATGCTTTGGTTGAGGTACACTATCAATGAACGTGAATCTTCTGTCACTTTCATTTTGTGAATATCGTTCTTGGTAACTACTAGCATCTTCATTCACTTGAGGAGCCGACATACATTTTAGTGTATACTAACCAGTCACATGCTATGCTCTAGTATTTGAAATAACCAGTAAAAAACACTGCCTCTGTACTGTAGCACTATTGTTGACATTTGAATGATAAAGGAAATCTGAAAGATTTGTTGTGCCTTTGCTGGTGTCACGCAAGAACTGCTGCCTCCCTGTTGTGAATTACTTGTTTTTAGAACCTATAATTATCAAACAGTCGTTTAAAATTTATTCATTCTAACTTTTTTTTTTCCAAATGAATTTGCCTGGATTCCATTACTCATGTAACAAAATAAAGTGAAGTGAGTACCTTTTTACATGATCTTCATACCATCCTTCTTCATTCCATACTTAGTTTGGCCCCAACATATTGCTTCAGCGGTCAGTTAATAATATGCCTTGCAGGTTAATGAAGGCCGGATTCCAGAAAACCGTGTTGCCCTTCAGTTGCTTGCGAAGGAGATGACTGAATGGCCAGATCTTGAGGTAATACTGACAATTCAGTTTATCGACTTCTTAGAAATGCATATAAGTTTTCTCCAGCTACCATACCACCATAACAATAGTTTTGCCTACCAGCGTCTTCAAACTGCTTGACTCATACTGATTATTTGTATGGTTTTGTCAGCCTTCATCACTTTCAAAAGTACAAGTGTACCACTGAGCATTGCTCGTCACTTTCCTATGCATATGTTTTCATTGTCTTTTTGTAACAACCTGTTTAGTCAAACTGTGTTTAAATTCATTTTTAATTTTTTGTACAGATGGAAGCTCCAAAAAAGAAGAGTAAACCTGGGAAATCTGTCTATGCAAAGGCTACAGATACAGGCATTGATCCTGAGACAGCTGCTAAAAGACTTAACATTGATTGGGATTCTGCTGCTGATTTGGATGATGAAGAGGAGGAAGATGATGAAACTGAAGTGCCCTCCGCAGTGGTAAGATGTTGATTTTGACATATGCCAACAATATTGGTTTTAGGTGCAAACATTTGATCAAAATTGAACAGATCTCTTGTACCTTTTTTTTTTTGCCATATCCTTTTAACAACACACCTTTTTTTAATTATTTTTTTGCAGGGATATTCTGCTCTATATCTGTTAACTGCCTTTCCTGTCATTATTGGAATATCAGTCGTGTTGATTCTTTTCTACAATTCTCTACAGTAGTTCAGCCCTGCTCATCTTTGCTTCCCGAGGCAGATATCCTCCTCCTTTTATTTTCTTTTGTAAATCTGAGTCAGCTTAATCTTCATTATTGTGAAGAAATGAAGATGTGAAATAGTTTCTGTGGTGATATGACAACTGACAAGATAGTAAATCCGTGAAATGCATATTACCAAAATAGAAGGCTTGAAAATAGTTTTTTCCCTGAGATATTTTGGCCTTTACTCTTTTTTTTTTTTTTGAAAGGAGGGCAAGAGCTTTTGCCTCATATATTAATAGAGAGGGGAAAAATGTACAAAGTATTTTGGCCTTTACTCTCAATTCAACCTTGCTTTTTCCCCATATCCTGCATCAAGCTCAAGCGGTTATACTATATCCATAGATATCCACAAGCCAGAAAATGCCAGCACTTTACACATAGTCGACATCCTTTCGTTGTGTCATCTTCACCATTTCCTTTTAAGAAACATAGTCGTGCCAGAATGCCGCTTAGTAGCAAGCACGAACAATGATAACAAGGCAGCAGCTGACCACAGCTGTGTAGAGAAAGAACAGCGGGTGCAGTGCAGCGGTCTAAGCCTGAAGATTTGATGAAGTGGAAGGTCAACCAGCTCACCGACACAGCACGGCATGACAAAGAGGCAGACAGCCCTCCATCCGAATGTGCTCTCCACCATTCCATGGTAGCCAATTCCATCATCCTGTTTTAGTTGTCAGGAAGCAGTCGGAACATCTCGTGCATGCAGTTCACTTCTGGTACGGTGATGCCATGAGTTTTTCTCAAGAAGACGATTCATTTCGAGAGAAGCATGCGTCCTTCAAGAAAGAAGCTGGAGCTGCAGGTATCGATGATGAGGAGGACCAGGACCGGAGGTCCCATGCCTCTGCGGACGGATCAAATGCAGCCAGAGGCGCCGCCACCGGCCGGCGATCCCGCGTCGCCTCGTCGGTCACCGACATCTCGAGCAACTCGTCGATCAACTACCGGAGGGCGAGGCAGGATAGGTTCGCCGGCGACGGCTTCTGGTGCGGCGCTCTCTGCCTTCCCCTGCCGGGGCTGTCGAGGAGGCGGCCGATGCAGCAGCAGCAATCCATGAGCCTGAGCGAGCCGGGCGCCCGGGCGAGCACGGCCGAGACGCGGGCCAGCGTGGCGTCCAAGGGGGCATCCATGGAGAGGTTCAAGTACAGCTCGTCGTCGTCGTCCAGCATCGTGTTCGAGCGCGCCGGCGGCGAAGAGGAGGAGCAGGAGCAGGAGCAGGAGCCGTCCGCGTACTTTGACCTGCCGCTGGAGCTGCTCAGGAGCAGCAACGTCGACACGGAGTCGCCGGTCACGGCGGCGTTCCTCTTCGACGGCAGACGCGGCCTGGGCCCGAAGAAGTTCACGATGCCCGAGCTGCCTGAACTTGATTTTAGCTTCCCGGCACCGCCTGAACTGTCGAACCCGTCATCACCAAGGACCTGACAATCTCTCCTCCGCATGCCATTTGGTGTCAATGGTTTGCCTTTGAGTTGAAGTAGGCATGAGTTTCTCGATTGCCTATACACTGATGTGTTTGACATTCATATCGCTGTTCGCCTTTGGTTTTTGAATTTCTTTTATTTTTGTTATATTGCGTTTGACAACTTGAAATGTATACATTTCTGTTTTAAACGGGCTAACAATGTTACAGTTTACATGGCACTAGGAGTATATCGCTGGTGTATATAGACAAATACTGAAAACAGTTTCATTTACATTAATAAAAGAGTAAAGTCCATCACCGGTCCCTAAACTTGTACCGTTGTATCATCCTGGTCCCTAAACTCGTAAATCGACCGTTCAGGTCCTTAAACTTGTTCGACTGTATCATCCCGGTCCCTAAACTTACAGATCACTCGTTTAGGTCCTCCAATTTGTTCAGTTGTGTCACCTCGGTCCCTAAACTTGGATTTGAATATCATCCTGGTCAAATAGGACGGGTCTAAAGACTTTATATTTTAAAATAATTCATAACTTTTTCATGTGAACTCTAATGAAGATAAACTTTATATCAAATTTGTAGCCCTCGACGCGATCTACAACTTTGTAGTTGGGATTTTTTTTATTTTAAGTCATTTTCTGTCCCAAAATGTAATTTTAAAATTAAAATTTCAAAATCTATAAACATGCAACAATATTTTGGGACCATAAACAGTTTTAATTCAAAAACTTTTCAACTACAAAGTTGTAGGTCACGTCGAGGGCTACAATTTCGATATAAAGTTTGTCTTCGCTAGTGTTCACATGAAAAAGTTATGAATTATTTTTTGATATAAAGTTTTTAGACCGTCCTGTTTAGGGACCGGAGTGACATAACTGAACAAGTTGAAGGACCTAAACGAGTGATCTGCAAGTTTAGGGACCGGGATGACACAGTCGAACAAGTTTGAGGACCTGAACGGTTGATTTGCGAGTTTAGGGACCGGGATGATACAACGGTACAAGTTTAGGGACCAGTGATGAACTCTACTCTTAATAAAAACCCCTTCTAGAAGTATATGGCGAACGGTTATCCTTCATAACATCTCTCTATATAGAGCCCTTTTTTTATCATAACTAGCAAGATGTTCGTGCTTTGCTATGGATAAAAGAAAATGTATTAATGTTTTATCCATCTTTTTGCTATAGAGAATATTCATCTTAATCTAATTTTGTATGTGACTATCCATTTAGACATCTTTCTTAATATTAAAAATTTTAAAATTAAATTTAAAACTATAGCAGTATCTAAAATTTAAATTTTGGTAGCGAGTGGCGAGTCAATAAGTAGACAATGAAATCCCTAATTTTACACGGTGTTGTTGCCAAAGACAAAGTTTGCCGTAGTGCAATCGACCGCTACATGGCATGATCTCACATAGCGAAGTAAAGAACTACTGCAAGCTTTTTAAGTGAACACTTTCAAACCTAATTATAGTACAGTTGTAATATTTCCGCCAAAAAAGTCTATTTGTAATATGCTTTCACTATAACTATTATATAGCTACAATATAACTTTATTATATTCCATCTGTTTTATATTATAAGTCGTTTGACTTTTTTTCCTGTAGTCAGGGTTCTTTAGGTTTAATTAGGTTTATAAAAAAAATAGTAACATTGATAACACCAAATTAGTTTCATTAAATTTAACATTAAATATATTTTCATAATATGTTAATGTTGTATTGGAAATATTACCATATTTTTCTATAAACTTAATCAAACTTAAAAAATTTACTACGAGAAAAAAAATCAAACGTAAAAAATTTACTACGAGAAAAAAAAATCAAACGACTTGTAATATATAAAACGGAGGGAGTAGTAATAAAAAATTATATGCAACTTTATATCTAATTAATATAGAGATTACAATATATTTATAACATAGTTATAATATAATTATTCTATAATTACAATATAACTATAGTGTAATTATATTATAGTTACACTACAATTATATACTATAGTTACATTAAAAGTTCTTTTTATCAAAAACCTTGCGACGGTTTTTTAGCGATTCCCAAAATTAATTGATAGAATCGGGAATTTACTCTACAGAGAAAACAATTAAACAATCTCCAGCGGCAACGCACAATAAACAAAAGGCTACTCTTATTCAACGAAAATGGATTTTTTTTTTACCGAAATAGTATAAGCCACAGCTTCGATAGCCTTATAGAAGAAGCAAGTAACAACTAACAACACATGACGAAGTGAATAACGCTATAGACTAGGTCCAGATAGAAAACGAAATTAGTCTTAAAAAAAGATAGGCCGTGAGGCATGATATGCTAGATCAAACAAAAAGGAAGTTGCTTGTGTCACTTGCTTGTTTGATTCGGTGATAGGATCATTTTGCTGCTGCATCGGCAAATGATTTTCTTTTTCTTTTCTATTTTTTGTCGCTTTCTTATTTCTAGATGAATGGATGAATGCAGATTGGATGTTGTCATTTTGATACATATATTCTTTGATGTTGGCAGTAAAAAGAGAACTGGTGTGCTCAGGTTTTAGTTTTTCCTGCTTTGCCACCTGTGATTGTTTTTGTTGATTATTTGTACAGAGTAAACATATTGTTTTATCAATTAGTTGGCCGATAATTAGTAACTACGGTTCGTCAAGTCTTGCAGCAGACCAGCAGTTCATTGCTCCATGGTTGGCCTGGATAAAAGCAATGTACGATTGTACGGCAAGCTTTGTCTTTGGCTACAGAGACAGACGATACAGACCCGAGAGAGAGCTGGTGATCTCCAATGCCTAAACAATTAGCTAATGGCAAGATTAGGGCTAACGCGGATCACAAAAAAAACTTAACAAAAAGGCAAGGGGCAAAAGAAGAAAAGGTTTATATTGATTTGTGCCATGTGGATTATTTCAATATATGAATTTGAAACAGCACACAACCTAAATAAAGCATTATTTCTTACCAAAACATTGCACAAAAGCCTATTCGTATCCTTTCTTGTTGTGGCTGATCACAATATCGCTGAGAGCAACACCCCCCGACCAATGGCTTCTGCAAACCGCCGCGCTCATATGTCGTCGCTCCGGCTATTGCCAGAGAAGCCCACCAGATCTGCACTGTCCTCGACGCCCCAACGGAGAGCAGGCAACGGCGGTGGCGAGGCCGGCGCCGATGGCGTCAAGTGCACCGCCTTGTGCCTGTACCTCCCTCGACTGTTGAAGAAGAAGCGGGCAGCTGTGCAGCCGGCCACCATGAGCGCCGCGCCCACAAGCGCGCAGAAGGCGAAGGCGAAGGCGAAGAAGGAGGTGCCTAGCGCTCCCCGTGTCTCGTCGCGGTGGCCGTCGTCACTTCCCCGCGCTGTCTCCGCCGGTGCGGCGGGCAGGACGTCGTCGGCGTCGTCAAAGCTCCGCGAGGCGTCGGCGTCGGCGTCGGCGTCGTTCTCGTTCTCGCACTGGAGCCGGTCTCAGGCATCTCGAGTCAGGCCACACGGCGCGGCGCCGGGCCCGTTCTCCTTCCCGTCGTCGCCGGCGTCCGCGTCGTCTGGCACGAGCACGCCGAAGCTAGCGCACGGGTAGTTACGGCGCGTGGACGCACGGAGCCTCTGACGTCATGAGACATGAGATGAGGCTGTGAGCCTGTGACGGAGCAGAGCTCTTCAACTCCGGTAGTATCGTCGTGGCCCCGTGGGTTCTGCTGTTGTGTACAACTAAGCGTGACTGCGTGAGTTTCTATCGACGGGTTTTGACGTTGTGTAAATTAAGCGTGAGTTTCTATCGATGGATCATGGATGTAACCTGGTGCTGGTGTGTCTGTCATGTGTGTGTTATAAGTTCAGTAGCAACTTGTGGTTGGATAATCAATTGATCAATTCAACAATGGCGACGTGGTTTCCAAGGGAATACGAATCTCAATGCGAACATGCATGTCTATAAACTTGGTTTCAATTCCAGGGTCCGTGTTTAATCGCCAACACACTCACTATTTTTTCTTAAATAATATTTAGAGAAGGGACATCTCTCCCTTCAAATCTGTTTTTTTTTTCTTTTTACATGAAGATGCGCACGGCCAAGACGTTCTGCACCGGGGCGCCGCCTGATCCTTAGTACTGGTGTGGCTCCACGACATGGTTCGTTCCTTTAGCAGAAATACAAATGCAAATTGATTTTTGTTAAAAAAAATTCTTTTGGTTGAAGGGGAATACTCACAGAACTATTAGGACTACTCTATTCTAGTTCCCACGAGGGATTACACTATCTTCAAAGATATCTTCAGCTATACCCACCAAAAGATGCTATCACAATTCGCAGGAAAAACATTCTTTATTATCGAAGATACGCTTCTACTGGAAGTTCAAAATCTAGTAGGTCATGAATGTGTGAATAAGTTGGATTGTGAATTTCCCCAAGTCGCCTGCTTTTCTTGTGTGATTGTGTTTGCATGCAAGAAACTTGCTTGAAACACGCAAGCAAAGGGATCTGTATCTCATCTGGGACTTGGGGATATGGAGTATAGGGATGGCAATTGTGCCCGTTTGCCCGTTTACCCGCGGGTAAAAACCCTATTAGGGTTGGTTTTGTTCTCCATTTTATACCCATGGGTATCTTATTGGGTCAAAAGCTATGCCCGATGGGTAAATGGGCATGGGTATGGGTAATCACTACCCATGCCCGCTTTGCCCGTTTACCCGCGAAATCTAACTTACATGTAGGCTAGGAGCAAAATCCACTAGAATACATAAGCCCAGTTCTTTATTTTCTTCGGTTTCCCTTTTATTTCCCTTATTATTTCTCTCCTCTTACTCTATCGCCGCCAGAGGAGAGACACGACACCGAGGTGGAGAATATTTGATGTTTTAAGTTCGATTCGAACTTAGTAGCTTGTAGACTTTTTGTTCCACTGCTTTTGTTGTGGCGGGTAAACGGGCACGCCCGCGGGCATAAGGCGCCCGCGGGCAATGGGCATGGGCAACCATCCTTACCCGTCATGTAGTAATGGGTATACCCACGGGCACAAATAATCTCACGGGCATGGGTATGGGTAGGCACTACCCGTGCCCGTCGCGCCCGATTGCCATCCCTAATGGAGTATAGAGAGTAGAGACACGCTTGCAAATTTGCAAGTCCAGCTGAAATATGGGCTAAATCAACTAGGAGAAGGACTTCCTTTTCCCTTTGGGTGACGTATGAAAGGCCCACAGACATGCGTAAACCCAGCCCATATGGACCAACTTGGCAACCTGGACGTGAGTTTCGTGCAAATCGTGCCTCACCAAGAGGAAATCACGGGCCTCACGGGAGCCCGCCGTTCGCTGGTGCGGTAGAACCCGACGTCGACAAGAACCTGACGAGATGCGGCGGCCGCGCCTCGCCGTCGCCGCCCGCGACGTCGGGCGGCAGGCACGACGCCACCTTCTTCAGGGCGCCCTTCGTCGGGCATCCATCGAGCACGAACCCCGCCGTGCCAGGCGCGTCGCACCGTTCGCCGGCCCTCATCATGAGCCCCGCCGGCAGGTCGAAGCACGGCGACGGGCAGTACGCAAGGACCTGCCGGGCGCCGCGGTCCTCCCCTAGCTCCGGCTCCACGAGGAGGTCGAAGGCGATGTTGCTGCCCGAATAGGGCGGGGAGCGCTCGAGCTTCTCGAAGGACGCGGCCCGGATTGGCGCCGGCGCCGGCACGTACTGGGGCTCTTGCTCTGTCTCGGCATCGACTGCGGCGGCTTGGTCTTGATCTTGTTCTTGGCTTTGCCGCCGGCTCTTGCCAACCTCTTCTGGCTTCTTCTTGAAGAGGCCCCGTAGATTGAGGCACATGAACAGAGTGCCGCATGTGAAGGTGTCACGGCCGGGGTCAGCATCGGGCGTTTGGGACATAGCGAGAAAAATTGGCAGCAACTTGAACAAGGACGTACGTCTAGTGTAGTAGCAGTAATATATTGGGGCGGGGTTGCAGCCCGTGTGGTAGTAGGCTGGTAGTGGAGAGCCACACTGCTGGTTGATCCTGTCCAGCTGATGCTGGATACTTGGATAGTGTGCTTCATGTCTTTCCCTCTAGTTAGTCGCCGGGGCCCACCTACCACTGTTTGGCATAGATCTAGCACTTGGATCGTTGATTCAATTTCTTTATACGCTGTGTGTAGAATTGCTATTTTTCTCAGGTAAATCTATGGCCAAACATGTAATGATAAATTTCATGGCGGACTGGCAGCAATGTTTAAGAGAATTAAATTCCGTGGCAGTGGTTGATCGTCTGATACTACCAACCGTTTTGGACTTTGGTGAAAGGTGATTATCTCAGTTCTTCTCTACAATTAGTTTAGCTCTTGCATGCCCAGCCTCTATCCTGTACTGCTCCCCCATCCCCAGATGCGCCATCAAGAACCAGACGACAGTGAGCAGCTCGCCGCCGTTGCTCAGCTGCTTGGCATGGAAGTTGCTCCGGCACTTGCTCGCGGCGTAGCAGAGGATCTCCACCCACACCACGCGGATCAGCCGCCACCTCTTGCCGGGCTGCAGCTCCAGCAGCGACTTGGCTAGCCGGCACGCGTCGAACAGGACCGACTTGCTCCTGTCTCCCTTCACGTCCCTCGGCGCGATCTCCGCGTTCACCTCGAGCACCATCGCCGCCGCCGCTCGCTCGTCCGGCAGCGCCATTTCCCGCTCGAAGAAGATCTTGGCCTCCGCGCAGGTGTCGCCGAACCGGATCTGCCCGATGCCGGCCGTCAGCATGAACGGCCGCGCGACGAGCAGGAAAAGCATGTAGTTTGACACCGCTCTGCTGATGCCAACGTACTCGGTGAGCTTGGCGTCGCCGTCACTGCCGTCGATGTCGTAGTAGAAGCAGAGGTCCGTGGCGATGTGCCAGAGGAGAATGCTCTCGTCGAACTCTACCTCGACGCTCCAGCCAAGCTCCTTGTAGTAGCCCTTGCACTGCAGCGCCCACTGGCCCCTGTGGTTGCTGAACTTGCGGTAGCTCTCGGCATTGTCGACGATGCTGACCGCCTTGTCCTTGAGCTCCCTGAACACCAAGGTTTTCAGCTCGGGTAACACGTCTATGTGCTGGATGTGCATCCAACTATCCCAATGTCCTTTGAGCCCGACCATGGTGATGACCTTGGTGAGCAACGTTGCTCTGTCATGGAGGCAATAGCTGATAAGGTTGTGTTGGGCCATCAGATTGGACCACTTCGGCCGGCTTTCCGGCCGGAAATACTTGATGCTTTTGAACAGAAGATGGCTCAGCGTGCGGCAGTTGCAACCTTGCAGAGCGGCGTACGTCCAGTAGGATATGAGCATCATACCAATGGCGTAAACCTCCAAGCAGAGTGCTCCACCGAACAACAGGTTGGTGATGAAGATGTCGACGCGGGTGTCGTGCGACTCGTACCGATCCTTGTCAAGCAGATTGAAGAGGAGGCACGCCGCCGACGTCGAGAGGAGCGTGACACAGCGGAACAGGCGGCCGTACCAAGTGTGGATGACCGCCGCCTTGGAGTGCAGGGTGTCGTACATGAGCGACAGCTCGATCTCGATGATCTTGTACGCTTGCTCCGGCGTGAGCCGCAGGAACGTGGCCTGGCTCCGCGTTCGGTCCTGGAAGCTGAGGATGAGGTTGACGAAGAGGCGCTTGAAGGTGACGAAGAAGCGGCGCGCGTCGGTGATGATCGTCGTGTACGGCACGCTCTCCTCGGCGATGGCCGCGGCGGTGACCCAGCCGCCCCGTCGCTCCGGCTCAATGACGATCTCCGCCTGGAGTCCCGCCTCGCGCGTGAAGCGGTACTCCTCCATGAACTTGGCGTAGTTGGGACCCGGGTCAGGCGTCGTCACCATGCCGCTCCGCAGGTTGTCCATGCTCGCGCACTTCAGCGCCCATGTCCTCTCGCCGTACTTGAGAATACCACTCAAGAACATGAACACGGCGGGGGCAAGGATATCGGCGCCTGGGCGCGACTTCGCGAAGACGTACATAGCGAGGGCAACCTGTTTTGCACACGAGGTGTTCATTGAAAACGTGAGAGACGGCATGGTTAATCAGCAGAGCAGAATGCACGTGGTTCAAGCTCGTACCTGGGAGAGCAAGCTGAGCAGGTGGCGCTTCCAGAGCTCGTTGTCCTCGATGGAGAAGGCCGTGATGGTGTCCTGGCCGCCGAGGTGGAGGAGGAGGAACGGCGCCCAGAAGGCTTGGATGCGGTGGGTGTTGCGGAAGGACCGCACGTCGACGCCTCTGGGGACGCGCGTCTGGGAGAGGTAGCCGAGCGCGTAGATGGCGATGGAGTCCGCGAGCAGGTAGGCGAGCCAGAGGAGCAGGCCGAGCACGGCGGAGACGTTGCGCTTGCGGATGACGGCGGAGAAGAGGAGGAACACCTGCAGCGCGAGGCTGGAGAGCACAAGCACGCGGATTTCCCACTCGTTCCACAAGGCCACCATGCCTGCCATGGTTCCCTCCATCTCCGCCTTCCACTCTGCCGCCTGTAGCACGATTCCAGCGTTGCTTCTCCCCGGTCATTGCCTAATCCTCTCGGAGATACTGACCTCTGGTCTTCCCCCGGTCAACGCCATTTTTTTTTCAAGATGGAAAGCTTAAAACGCGTAAAGGAGAAACAATGCCAACAAAATTGACTCGAATGTTGACTGACTTTGTAGCAAAGCCCAAAGCTGATGCAACCATCTTGCAGTCTTGCATACTGTGTGTGTGTAGTGTGTACTACTGTACTGATTTGGCTAAACTCCTTTCTTTGTTAGTGAGTTGGAGAGGCCAGAGCCATTGATGGCGGTGGAAGTTGTCCAGTTTCTTGTAAGAAAGTACGTGGATAGCCTTGCGGAGGAGGAGGCAGCAGCGGAGCTCCCTTTCCGCGCGCACTTCTACGACGTCAAGGCCGAACTGGAGAAGGCCGCCATTTCTTCCACCAACGCCGATGAGCTCCGGCAGTGCCTGTACGAGCTCAACGACCTGCTCGCCGAGTGCCGCATGCTCGCCAGCCGGACGAACACTCGGCCGGGCTGCTTCTCCCCGTCCGAAGCGTGGCGTTCCAACAGGGTGAAGACGAGGGTGATCGCCGTCAAGCGCCGCGTTCTGCGGTGTGTCGAGAGCGATTCCAGCGGCAACGCCGCAGCCTTGGAGGAGGAGGACAGCGCCGCCGCGGGCTTCAGCCGGTGGACCACCTCCTGGCTCGAAGAGGGCACCGTCCACGGGTTCGACCAGCAGCTCGCCGAGCTGGAATCCATGGCGTTCGGGGCGGAGTGCGGCGCCGGAGGTCTTACCGGCGTCGGCATCGTCGGCATGGGCGGCGTCGGGAAGACCGCGCTCGCGCAGCTCGTGTTCAACAGCCCGCGGGCGAGGCGCCGCTTCTTCCCCAGGATCTGGGTGTGCCTGTCGCGCACCGCCTGCGCCGGAGTGGACGTGAGAAAGGAAGTCTTGCAGAGCATGCTCATGGCTCTCGGCCTCGAGGAGGAGGTCATCTTGTCCATGGATGGTGGCAACGGCCTGGGAGAGATGGTGTTTGCAGTCCATGAGCAGCTCAAGGGGAAGAGGTACCTCGTAGTATTCGACGACGTCTGGAACGTCGACGGCTGGTACGCCGACGTGGTAGGCCGCCGGAATGCCTCGCCCACCGGCGAGGAGTGGGGAGAGCGCCTCGCCTTCGGGTTGCCCAAAGAGAGAGGCGGGGTGGTGGTCGTCACCAGCCGGCTGGAGCAAGCGGCAGAGACGATGGTCGGGAAGAGCAGCTTGCACCGTGTGCAGCCATTGGCCGACGGCGAGAGCTGCTGGGCAATTTTCATGGATGCATTTTCCAAGGAAAGACGGCCGGCTGACGTCACCACTGTCAACAACATGAAAGATGAGATCATTGATACCTGCGGTGGGCTCCCGTCAGCGGCCAAGACACTGGGAGACATCTTTGCAAGGAGTTTATCATCGCCCGCCTCAACTTCTAGCCAGGAACTTAGCAAGAATAGGTAGCCGTGGAAGTTTGATATAGGCAATGAAACAGTAGGATAGTTGCTGGTTCACTGTAATATTCGAAAAATGATATATTTTCAGAACTGAATATTCAAAATGAAGGAATTGCTCTTCAGTGCTCAAATACAGCCATAATATTCTGTAGTTAAGCTAAAGAATTGCTTCGGCTCCTTTGTGTTTCATGAAATCTATTGAGTGACACCGAGAAGAAAGATCAGCGAAAGGAAACTCACTTGATTCAACATTGCATTCTACTTATCTGACTTCCTGCTTATCACAGTTCATCCACACTCCATCCTTGTCACAGGGGAAAGATTCTAATTTGCTACACCTGAAGACCTCCAGGAAGGTCAGGTTTGGGAATGCCTCATGCAATTGGGTCCATTCCACCTCTAAGTCATCTAAGAATTTCAGGCGCAATATCTCAACTTTCCACATCTCTGACGTGCTCCCATCTCCAAAAGTATTTAGCATTCCGCCTGTAAAATACAGTTTCTTCAGTCCCAGTAGCTTACTCGGACTCAACCAGCTTGGTATCTTCTTTCCAGGGAAGCAACGAAGGTCTAGCTTTTTAAGATTTGGAGGAAGGGATAATGAAGTTAACATTGCCGTTGCCACAGAAGCTTGTTGGTCCTTTCCTTTCGACAGCACTGATACAGCCCATGTAATAGTCAGTGAACGAAGGCCTTTGATGTTCTCAAGTTCATTCAGTTCATCTCCTGTCACTGCAACTTTACTTCCAATATATACGCTCAGTTTGTTCAGTTTCTCCAATCTGACCAACTCCGCCACTCGACAATTATAATTGCTTGTGGAACCACCAATAACAAACCCTTTCAGCACTTGGAGTTCTGTAAGCAAACCAATCCCCCTTGGCATGCCCTCTAGCAGGTAGCATTCTGACACATCAAGGTGGGTGAGCATCTGAAGAGAGGTGATGCTCTCAGTCAGCCTCTCAAGATTATGACAAGCATGAAGATCCAGGATCATGAGATTTGAGAGTTCACCAATAGAAGCAGGAAGCGCAGTTATTCTGGAGATACCCCGTAGGCAGAGATATTTTATTTGTTTGGACAACTGCAGTCCTTCCAGAAATTCAGTACTGTCAACCTCGATATGGTGTCGATACAAGTTATGCCATCGACCTAGTTGGAGCACCGCAATCTTCCTCAAATCCAAGAACCAACTCTTGTCAAACTGGAGGTATCGCTCATTCACATTAAATATTGTGAGCAGGCCGTCTGTATTGGGTTGGTTTTTGACCGGTGATATTTCTATTTCTTGCTTATATTCTTCAACTAGACAAGCACGGTGAGTTCCTGAAAAGTCCCATGTTGCATTGCCTTCCGAATCAAATTCAAAAAATTGTGCTTTTCTTGCAACAGTAATCAACATACGGCGAATCCAAGGGTGCAACTTACATTCACTGACGCTACAACTGCGTTTCACGTGCACAGCTTCAATCATATCCCTAGCAATAAGCTTGTCAAAGCAATCCTTCCCAACATCTTCCGCAGTTTGATTTCTTGTGGCTGCTACTAAGCCCTCACCTATCCACCAATGGATCATGGCCCTCTTGCTGATGATAGAATTTTCTGGGAAGATAGAGAAGCACAATAGGCACAGTTTGAGCTGCAGATCAAGATTATCATAACTGAGCTGCAAGGTAGACATGGTGGAGTTTTCAAGGATTTTCCTTTCGATCTCCAGCCTTCTCCATTCCTCTGAAACATTTGCTGGCAACAATTTAGCTGGCGAAGATGCTGGTAAAAGTGGAGGAACTGATGGCTTGATCACAGGAACATGAAGAGGAAGTTTCATGCGATCTTTTAAGTTGGACATTTCAGCATTGACAATTTGAAGCTTCAAACATATTGAATTCAGGTGACTTTCTTCTTCTACAATGTCATCCAAGTACCGAGCTATCCCTCCAAAGTCATCGATTATCTCATTTTCCCATCTTGATACCCTCTGTAGTATATTCTCCACTTCGTAAGCTTCTTTCTCAATATTTTGAAACAGATGTTTAATCTCTAAAAATGAACTGTCCTCATCTAGTTTTAGAAAAAGAAGTCTTGCTTTTGATAATTGCATTAGAAAGGGGGACACAACTTCGTCCAGTGCTCGTTCCTGTGACATCGTGATTTCTGCAACTGCAATCACCTGAAACAGAGCTGACAATGTGAAAAAGAGGAAGGTACTTGGATGTGCTTGGATTCAATAATATCTCTAAACATGAAAGCAAGTCTTACAACTCTATGAGAAATACAATTGTATTTTTAGAAATAAAGATTAGATTTTTGTAGCACAATTATAGTTTTGGTAGACTGTCTGCCCGATTGGGTGGGAAATTCGGCTAGTTCCTCTAAAAGAGGTATTGAAGCTAACTCAGGCCTCAGAAATCATATTACAATGAGGCTAGGTTGGCTACAGAAATGAAAGAACTGCTAAGCAAAATTCTAGCTGATTCGACTAAGATTGTATTCATTAATTATTTCTGTTTATCAAAATTTAAAAAATTCTTATGTATGCTATTCTTCTTCTTCTTCAGATTCAAGAGAAAGCAGTGAGATTAGCAGCGAAACTTCACTGTGCAACGTTTTCAGAGACAAGTTACAAAAGCAGCCACACACCTAAGCAGACCACCAGTGAGACAAATGGGGAGTGGATTTTGATCCTCAAGGGGATGTCCCCTCGTTGTTTGCACGTCACTCAAACGGGTGAAAAAATTTGAAACGATGTATTAACACGTGATATATCACTCCACAAACATGCAAGTTCAAATTCAACTTCTACATCTCGCAATAAAAAAAATTAAATTACAGCTAGTTTACATATATTCATAGTCAGATTTGTTTTTTTCGTTGCGAGTTGTCGAAGTTGAATTTGAACTTGCATGTTTGTGTAGTGATATATCACATGTTAATACATCTACTTAATTTTTTTCAATTTTTTTTATAACCATTTAAGTGACATACAAATAACGAGGGAACATCCCATTGAGGGATCAAAATAGTTTCCCAGACAAACGAGCACCAAGAGACTATCATACTGGCAAGATATCAGATATCCTAAGAATCTGGAGCACCCTTACCCTTTAATTAGCATTCAATAGGCTGGAAAGATTATGCTTAATAAAAGTCTGGAGCACACTTCCACCATCTTCTTATGAAACCAAACGAAACCTAACAGACCTATCAGTATCACTTTGGACTTTACAGTTTGATGTAAAAGAGACAGCTCTTGAATCTTGATATGCCTGACCAAAACAAATGAAGCTATATTGACTTAAAATCTTGATATAAGTTGATATTTTTTCAACTCGGTAGTAACATGCTTCTCAGCCATATCTCTGTTCTTTAATTCGGCTTCAACTTGTTTTCATCAAACAGAAAATTGCAGAGGGTGGACTCATTTACAGTACTACTGTTATAAAGGGGTAAACCCAACCAGAGGGGAGAAACGATAAACCACACTCACTCAAACGAGGGTTCGTTCCTTTGCTGGTAAGAGTCAGCAGACCAGCACTGCCAATAGTTGCCGGCTGAAGCTATCAACTGCGAGGCTTTATGAGGTTCTGTTTTGAACAAATGATGAAAAACAGCGGAAGACAAAACATATATGATACAATTGCGATTATAAAATTGATAAATAAATAAAACATGAATATACAAGAAAGGGCTTTTATAACACAGAAAATTTTATAATAATACTCCCTCCGTATTTTAATGTATGACACCGTTGACTTTTTGAACTATGTTTGACCATTCGTCTTATTTAAAATTTTTATGTAAATACAAAAATATTTATGTCACGTTTAAATAATATTTGATGATAAATCAAGTCATAATAAAATAAATAATAAATACATAAAGTTTTTAATAAGACAAATGAACAGCGTTATACGTTAGAATACGGAGTGAATACTGTACAATTAGTATAAAACACTGTACTCACCTACCCGGCTACCACCCTCACCGGCGTCGGCGCGGGGCAGAGAGTGGCGGACACGAGCTTAATCGACGTTAGCCAGGAGGGCGACAGCCGCGGCGGCGGCGGCGGCGCGAGTTCGGCCGGCGGGGCACCGGCAGCAGCTCTGGGTCAACCGACCTGAAGGGGCGGCCACAGTTCGACGGCGGCACCGACCGGCGTCTGCGCGCCCCTCGACCTACGAGAGGCGCGGCCACGTTCGACCGCGGCGCGGCAGCGGAGCGAGGTTTTTACCCTCGTAATCGTTGAGACCGAGGGTTTGCTCCTCTTGAATCCCCTATCTAGATTCTCATCATCTAGGTCGACCCGAGTCCCCGACCGACGTGAGGGGTGAAAGATATGTACTCTGTCACTGCTTTTTCTTGTAGTGAATTCCCACTTCTGCACTGTTATCTCTCCTTGATCCTTCGTCCCTTTAGGAAGACACAGGAGACGAAGACGACAACAAAGACATTGGCAGGTCCAGTGGAGACGACGCAACGACCCCCAAGTGGTCAATGTTCTCCTATGGAATATATTCCATGAAAAAACTAGAGAAGACGACCTCTTTTAAAATTTTAATTTTAATCTTTTATTGCAGTGTTGTCCCACACACGGATCACGCGGCTTCATCTCGTTTTCCTCCCCCACAGACGGGGAACCGCGTGAGCAGACTCCAACCTCTCACCTTAGTCACCTAGCTACTTAAGAGATTAGACTGAACTTGGAGAAGATGATAAGCCAAGCAGAGAAGTGGAAAAAAAAACAGAGTTGTTCGATGGAGCACCTTGGAAGGGCAGCAGTTTGATTCCTGTTGCTTGCAGCCTATGCTCCCATATGAGGTTCGTGATTTTTGTTCTACATGCTCTCATAAGATTCGTTCTGGTGTGGCATCACAAACTAGCCATCCTTTACCATTTGGTATCTAGATTCAGTACTTCATCATACTCATCTACTCAATTCCACATATGTTTCACCTCTTCTAGCTACCTTAAAAAGATAGGCTGTATACTTATTGATATCTGAACTTAAAATCCTGGTAGATTTGTTCAGTGTGACAAAAAATAAAGAAAGACTGCTGTTTGTAAAGGCCATTGATTCAATATTCTGGAATCCGGATTACCAAATCCAAGATCGTAGTTATAAAGAACAAAGAATACATGCTAAGGTTTTTTTTAGGGCAGTTACGCACGGGATACCGTGCAAGACTAAAGTTACGGGATAACTAAACCACTCGATAAATTAATAGATCTTTCCAACCGCATCACCTGCTATCCACGCGATTCCTCGTTGCTTTCCCCAGCCGGACCCTCCTCGGTCTCGCGTGCCTCCGCACGCAACACCTCGTCGGCGGAGCGCCGCTGCAGCTAGCCGGAGCTGCAGTGCCCTCTTCCTCCAATATCCTCCTTGGTATCGCGCCCCACACGTCTTGAACCAACGCTTGGCGATGCAGAGAGTGACATTGGTTGCGAGCTGCGACAGTAGTAGGGAACAAGGATCGAGCCGAGGGGAAAGGAGAAGATGAGAGAAAAAGGCGTGTGGTGCTTGATACCTCGTAGCCAACCATGATACTTGATACCACGCAACCAGTTATGATACCTGATACCTTGCAGCCAGCCATGATACCTGATACCTCGCAGGTACTAGGTATCAGATTTAATACTTATGGGTACCAGCCATGATACCACGGGTACTAACCATTGTACCTAAAGGTGCCAGATCTGATATCTGGGTATCAGCGGTGATACCACATGTACCAGACATGGTACCTACGGGGTACCGGCTATGGATGATACATTGCACAATGTACTTGTACACACTCCGGCAATGAGCATGATGACTCACCATCACGTCGCTGCCAATGAAAGCTCCAGAAGCTTCATTGGTCACGCCCCTCCATCACCATCGGCAACGCGCCTAGAAGGAGGCCGAGAAGCCCACGCTGGTCAGCATCCTTCCCAACAGCCTCCCTCCTTCCTAGTTGCCCCCTTCCGCCATGGGAGCTAGATCCATAGGGTGCCCATGTCTCAAAAGCATGATACGAAGAAGGAGGCAATAGGACCTTGTAACCAACGTGCCACTTGGTATAGATCCAACATCGAGGAGGAGGGGAGGGGATCCGTTTTAAGGGGCATGCTTCGTCGCCTCCATGCCTGTATAGAGGAGCTCTCTGGAACAGAGAGGAGGATGGGGAGGGGAAAAAGGAGGGCGAAATAGGAGAGGCGGAGGAGGAAGACGAAGACTCGGAGAGAAGACGAATAGATAAGAACGAAGCGTTACCCACTTATTCCGTTTCCACGGGATATGGTTGAGTAGTTTTTCTGTTTTTTTTTTCTTTTGAAACAACCCGCACAAGAGAGTGTGGCATTTCTATTGATATAGAAGAAAAAAATACAAGTCTACAGTCCTAGGAGAGAGACTGTAGTCAGGAAAAAGAAAATACAACCATACCACACGTCCACGTCTGATCCTGCTGCAGAAACCCAATATGCACACAACCTGAAAGGAACTTTTAAACGACGCCTCCAAGGAGGAAGCGACGTCAAAGAGCGCCGTCGTCGCCCCTCCTAGAGAACCAGGACATGTTTTTCACCTAAAGAACCAAAGGAGGAGAAAGCACAACAACGCCCCAAGGAGAATGCAACGCCCGCAATCGTCGTCGTTGCCGGCCCGAAGGCTAGGCCTTCGCCCAAAGCTTTCCTACCCTCCCACGTCAATGAGTGCCCGTCAGATTCAACAGCCACCACTAGCTAATGCCCTTTAACGCGCAGCCACCCCGCCAACGCCTCGCCGCCGGTCGGCCATCAGAGTAGAGTCTCAATCCTCGGGTCGCTCTAGATCCATCCACGTGGGCGGGTTGGAGAGGGAAAGGGTGAGAGAGAAGATGGATCCCCCCTCCCCTGCACTAGCCAGTCTAGCGTGGCCATCTTGTGGCAGGCAAACCGCCCCCGCCGCCGCCTCAACCATGTTGCCCTAGACGAGCCGCTTGGTTGCATCGCCGCCGCCTCTGACCTCCCACCGTTGTAGCCTCGTCGTCGCACCGGCCCATCACGGCCGCACCACACTGCATCAACCTACGCGCCGTGCTCGCCAGCCACAAGCCACTGCGCCGTGCACTTCACCAGCCGACCACCACCACCACCGCCGGACTCACCACGGCGGCCTCTCTGCCATCGTCCGCACCGGCCTCTTGGCGACGGCTTCCCTGTCGTCGCTCATGCCTATGCTGACCACACGGCCTCCGCCGCCTCCCGACGCGCCGGCCTCGCTGGCCGCCGCGTCATGCAGCCGTCGTCATTGTCCTCCGCCACCTGCCACGGCAGCACCCCCTTATTCCGCCCCGTGCCTCCACCTGGCCGTGTCACCGCGAGTCCACCACCGTCACGAGCAGTCGCGTCGTCGGAGCTGCCCGCTCGCCGCGAGCTTCACCGCCACCCCCTCCCGGTCTAGCCGCGGGAGGGCCAGGTCTGCCGCACCTACTTTGGCCTACTCCACGCCGGCCACCAGCACACGCGCCGTTGCACCGCCAACACTCGCGCCACCTGCCCATGCGACCTGTATCCAGCTGCCAGCACGCGCGCCGCTCAGCCTCCTCTGCGTCCCATCGCGCCGCTCGTGCCCGGCCTTGTCCCCAGCGGCAAGGCGCTGGATCTGGTCGCGGCGCCGCCAGATCCAAAGCCTTCGCCCTTGCTCACCGCGCGCTGTGCCGCGGCCCTCGCGCTGAAACGTCGCGTCGCCGGGGAAAGGCCTCGCCGCTGCCCTCCCAGCTGGCCGCTCGGACGCCGGCAGCGCGCTACGGCGGCAGCGAGGGGAAGGAGAGGAAGGGAGGGGGCGGCAACGGGGGCTAGGGTTCACCCCCCGTGCCGCCCGTGCGACAGGGCGACATGGGGCCCCAACCATACCAAATCACTTCCCATGCTAAGATTTCTGTCAAACAAATAATTCAGTACATGCATGTCTTGTAAATCTCTTTCGAAACACGAAATGCTCTTGGGCTGAGTCCTAGTCAGTAGTCACCTAGAAGTACTTTTACGGTGGTCTCTAGTAGTATTATCACCGGTATAAACAATTTAATCCATTGATTTATGTGTTCTATCATCAGTAGTTAAGGTGGTAGAATAAATAGATATAGTCCATTGAATGAGAAAAGATGAAATGGTTTGATTTTTTTTTAAAGGAACAATGAAATGGTTAGATTGATTCCACTACCAGCAGAGACCATCCTAAAAATTTTAAAGGACTTAAGGAGCCATTATGCAGTACACTTGAGTTATTGAATGGGCTTTCATTTTGAGCTGTTGGTGACATTCAGCGTGCCTTGTCGGTCTCATGCTATGCCGGTTTATGAACTTTTAGACTCATACTTGACTAGTTATCACATAAAACTTAGTTTTATAGGTATACTAAAAATACAGTAGAATCAAATACCATTAGGGGAGTCATATCAAATTTCAAATAAACCAAATTGAATAGATCTATGATCTGCTTTAGCTATAAAAACATTATGTTATGTTGGTAACCATGTACCGTCTATGCTCGATGATAAGCATTGAGTAAACACTGTTTATTGTCAAATTCTCTGAATGATAAGTTCTAGCGTTAATATATGAATCCTGTAATACTTGTGTGATAGTGGATGACTGCATGAGGCACTCACTGTTTAACTAGTTCATTTAAAAATATGTGACAGCGATGAGAAATAAAGAACATACTAGGGGACAAAAACATCATGTATTAACCAAAGCAATAGCAAAAACATATACAAAATTATAAATCATCAGTTATATATGAACCGTTCTTTTGTCATACCTGAAGTGATGTCTAATTTATAGTGACTGAGAATTTATTTTTGCATGTAGGGAACTTGTTTTTTACCCACAAAAAAGGATAGCCAAGAATATCAACTATAGTTGTTTGACATAATAAAAACTTCCATGAACAGGAAGGGTCATAAACATGGTCTTATCTTCTGTGCAAATGCATATATGAATTGGCAGTTTCACTACACAGGGTACTGGAGCTGACAAAACAGAAGTAGCAAATGTCATCCTATTGTTGTTTTTGGAAGCCAAAACAGCCAATCAATGTGGGACGTGTGCAATTAGTGAAAGGGGATCAAATGATTTCAATCCAAGATGTGCTCAGATTGCTTGTTCGTCCAGAGGTCGGATCAATTCTCATTGAAGGCATAGGTGGCTTAGGGAAGACATGGGCTGCAAAGGCTGCATATCAAGCAGCAAGGGCCAATAATCTCTTTGATGAGTATATCTGGATTTCCTTGTCAATAAATTGTAGCCTGAGACAGTGTATAGATAAGATTACTGCATGCCTGTCATGTGAAATCAGAGAGGACTTGTCAGTACAAAGAACTACTACCATGATCAAGGAATATCTCACAAAACGGAAGTTCCTGTTGGTTCTTGATAATGCTTATTTCACTGAGGAAAATATCTTGGAGCACATGGGAATTCCTCATCCCCGCCAGCAAAATATTGGTTCAAAAGTAATCGTGACCACAAGAACTCGGAGGACAGCAGGTGCTATGTGGCCACATGGCCCAGATACAGTAATAATGCCACAACCTCTAACTTATGAAGAGTCATATAACCTACTCTGTACAAAGATTGGAAAAGATGTTGGTTCTTCATACACACTAGATTTAATCAACAATTGCTATGGCATCCCACTGTCAGTCATTCTATTGGCTGGAGTATTGTGTGATGTACCAAGTCAAGATACATTAAATGAGTTGGTCAGAAATGCTTGTGTCACTCTAGGATCCAAGGTATCAGTGTTCCACACAATGCAGCGTCTTGTGAAATTCGCATACCATCAACTTCCTGATGCTAATGCAAGGCACTGCTTCTTGTACTGCTTACTCTTCCCTGAGGATCAAGGAATTCCAGTCAATGACTTAATCCGTTTCTGGGTAATGGATGGTCTAATCACACAATCTATTGAATTTCACGAGGCTAGCTGTATTGGAAAGGAAATTCTTGATGTCCTTTTAAAGCGTTGTATGCTGTATATGGATGGTAATGATCACGTACGTATGCATGATGTGATTAGAGAGACTGTATCAGGATTTGGAAAGGTAAACGGTTACAGAGAGCAACATGACTTCAAGTTTGGTAATCCTGCAAGAAAATTAGAGTGTCTGGCCAAGTTAAGCACAAGAGTTTCACTAATGAGTACCGAAATGGAATATCTTGATGGAAGTGTACGATGCTTCTGGCTTACATCATTATTTTTAAGAGGAAACCGCCATATGAAATATATATCAGAAGAACTCTTTTGCCATATGGAAATGCTTGGGATACTAGACCTCTCATTTACTGGAATCAAGATACTACCGCGTTCAATCTCCTGTTTGACTAGGCTCCGAATATTGTTACTCATGGGCTGTGATCACCTGGAAGAAATTCAGCACATAGCTTCATTGGCACAGTTAGAGGTCCTGGATGCATCTAGTTGTCGTTCCCTGAGGAGTATAGAATCTGGATCATTTGGCCATATGGGAATGCTTGGGATACTAGACCTCTCATTTACTGGAATCAAGATACTACCGCGTTCAATCTCCTGTTTGACTAGGCTCCGAATATTGTTACTCATGGGCTGTGATCACCTGGAAGAAATTCAGCACATAGCTTCATTGGCACAGTTAGAGGTCCTGAATGCATCTAGTTGTCGTTCCCTGAGGAGTATAGAATCTGGATCATTTGACCATATGATGTTGTTAAAGCTCCTTGATCTTTCCACAACTTCCATCAAATGCTTGCCTTCTCTTCCAGCTTCCAGGGAGCTTTGCCACTTGCTGCTGCAGAATTGCCCATATGTGGGGTCTGAGAACACCATCAAATCAGATGGCATACTCTCTGATACAGAACTCATCAGGTTTCCTTACGGAGTGTCCAAAACTGGTGCTATCCAGAATTTGCAGCTAGGCAGAATAGGAGATTTATCGGATTTGATGGCTATGCTGTGGTTGCCTTGCGGACTGACTTTTCAGCTGTGTGATATGTTCAACATGGGAGTACTATTTAGCGATAACGAGGATAGCAAAACATTTGTTTATGCGAGTGACACTTATTTCTTTCACTCCTTGAAAAAGGACTCTCCATTATGGTTGAATGGTTTTCAAAGGTTTCAGATTATCATCTCTCCTCTGAAGGATGACCAAGCCTTGGATACTGATGCACAACTAATGAAGGCAGATTTCATCTTTCGGAGTTCCTACTTTAAGACAAAACACTTTACACATTCCATTGATCTTGATAAGTTTCTTGAAATAAACGGTACCTTTGATGTTCCTTCCGAAACTGAGGGCATTCTTGGTCATGCTGAACTGGTATCATTAAAGAGATTAGCGACCACCAGGTCTTCAGACCTGAATATTACTAGTATGGAAGCAGTTCGAGAACTTTGGATAGAGAATTGTAGCCAACTGGAGAGTCTTCTCTCAGTAGATGAAATTGAGATTTTGTCTGCATGGGGCAACTTGCACAATCTATGGATCTCCAACCTAGAAAGGTTGTCATCCCTTTTGGAAGGGGTGAAAGATGTGGTTAGTTTCAGTTGTCTGAAGCACTTGCTCATTGATTGTTGTCCAAATCTCAAGTGGATCTTTCCTTCAATGGTATGTCTTCCGAATCTTGAAACGATGCATGTAAAGTTTTGTGACATTCTGGAGAGGGTATTTGAAGATGACAGTGTCTTGGGAGATGACGCTCTTCCAAGGCTGCAGTCACTGGAACTGTGGGAGCTTCCTGAGCTATCCTGTATCTGTGGTGGAACTTTGCCGTCTCTGAAGAATCTCAAGGTGAGAAGCTGTGCAAAGCTGAGAAAAATCCCTGTTGGCGTTGATGAAAACAGTCCATTTGTCACGACGATAGGAGAAACATTCTGGTGGGACTGTTTAATCTGGGACGACGAAAGCATTAAGCGTTGGATACTGTTCAGAAAGTGGGGGCCAATGCTACCATATCTTGCAACTGAAGGATGAAGATGCATCCGATTCCGGGCTGAACATTTCTGCTGATTGGTGGTTCTCAACACGAGGAATATGGAAGCAGCAGCTCCAAGGATTCGACACAATTGAGAAAAACAACAGTGAACAGATATCCAAAAGCACATGAGCTTCTGTTTAGCAGGCCCATATATTAAGTTGTACTATATGGTTTTATCAAAGAACATCACTCTTATTTGGAAAATTTATGATAAATGTGGACGGTTAATTAGAAGTTGCATCCGGAGCTCAGCTCTGTATGACTTTGCCTTTAATTAGGTCTGCACAGTTTTTAGTCACTTCAAAAATCTTTAATAATTCAAACATTTTAGCGTGTTCCGGAGGCTGTTCATCGTGAATTCAACCATTCCATCCATGATGCCATCGTTATACTTGTACCACACAATCATCCTCTACAGGTTGTGACCTGAAGTTTTTTTTTGGAATACGCAAGGAGCGCATCATTGTATTAAGAAAAAATAAAGTTTATGTACAAGGCGGGTGCAACAAAAAGAAAAACGAGATAGGGACGGGATAGAGGAGAGAAACAAGACTATGAAAGCTTAATCTCCCAAACCATTTGGCGACCCCTCCCTGTCCAAATGGATCACTACACTAGGAATAGCTGCCCTAGCCAATCTCCAAAGATCAGCTTCTCCTGCCATTGCCCGAGCAATGTCCACCCAAGATCTGTTGTGACCTGAAGTTGTGCGCACCAACCAACCGTCCAGCAAAAGGTTTAATTTGGCTGGGCCGTTCAGAGTTTTGCTGAGAAAGTAGGCCGTACGAAGAGGATGGGCTATTATCTGGCCCAGATATGAAGCCATTACACGCTCAAAAGTAGGAAAAAAAATACAAGGTCCCTAAACTTGTCACCAAATTACAAAATTGCCCCTCAACCGAACAACCAGAGATATAGCATCCCTCAACTTACAAAATCTGGTCACTCAGGTCCTTAGACGGTATTGACCCCGGTTTTGTCTGACGTGACGGTTAAGTTAGCGTGGGACCCACATGTCATCACCTCAATCCTCTTCCACCTCTATAGGTCCCCTCTCTCTCTCTTCCCATCTTAATCCAAGCCTCCAAAGCGGACAGGGAGAACCGGAGAAGGGTGGCGGCCGGTGGTGACCCTTGTTGGTGGCAGCAGAGCTCGCTGGCGAAGATAGATGGGGAGGGGGTGGCGGCGCCGCGAGAGAGCTGAGGCAGCGGAACAGGGAGGGATGTGGGTGTAAAGGGGGAGCATGGGGAGGGCCGAGCCCCCTAGCGACATCCTAACCGGTGAACTCCGCCTCTCCTCGTCGCCTCCGTGGAGAGATTCGCCCGGCCCAGACCACCATCACCTCACCGTCGGGCCTCCTCCTCTACACCTCGCCCCGCTCAGCCATCTTCGCACATGGGAAGCAAGAGGATGGCGTGGCCAGCGAGGTCAAGGCGGGACGTGGGGAGGCGGGAGGACGGTGTGGACAGCGAGGTCGAGGCACAACTGTTGCTACCTATTGCTATCGCCTTTCCACCGCCTACCCGCCGCTGCCGCCTTTCCGCCGACGAGTGGGCGAGCTCGAGCTTGCTGGCCAGTCAGCGTCTATGCTGCCCAACTCCTCTCCACCGGTGCCGCTACCGCCTATCTCATATCCGCCGCCTTTCTCCTTGCCGACCGTCGCCGGTCACGCGCATCGCCTTCTCACATCGGGCGTGCACTGGAAAGAGATGAGGGAAGAGAGCGGAAAGGGGAATAAGAAATTGTGGTTTCACTGACATGTGGGGTCCACATGGCTCCCACGCTAACTCAGCCATCACTTCAGATAAAACCAGGGTCAATACCGCTTAAGGACCTAGAGTGATCTGGTTTTGTAAGTTGAAAGATACTACCATGGTGCCCGGGCACCATGGTATGAAATACACAAATTCGCCCAAATTTTTCAAAATTTTTAAATTGTGAGTATATACCTACTTATAAGTATTCGATTCATACCTATACCTAGCAACAAAACAACTCAAATTTAACTTTATTTCACAATCCATTATTACATACCAACTAATTATATGTTTGGATGCTATATACCTAGAATCAAAATCTAACAAAAGCAAGTTTGAATTCAGTTCAAACTTGCTTTGAACTAGTTAGTAAAGTAGTTAACGTTAATACCTAAATATTTGAAAAAGTTTCATACTCATTTGAATTGGGTATATAGTAAATTTCAATCATGGTGCCCGGGCACCATGGAACACCAAACAAATTTACTATATATATATATATATATATATATATATATATATATATATATATATATATATATATATATATATATATATATGACAAAATGAGAGACCTCATATGTACTTTTTCCTCATGGGTATCCTGTTCCAGCCCCATATTGTCCTTTTACAAGATTCTGGCTCATGTCGGCGGCGAACTCCAGCGAACCGTAAGCAACGTTAAGAGTGAGTAATCTCTTCTCCATCGTCTCCTGCCCAGTCGTCTTCATCGTCCTTTCTCTCCTCGCCTTCGCCTGCAGCATGATGGTAGTGAGCACCCCAACCTTGCACCCTTTGCTCCCACGATGGCACGATGCACCAGTGCGTGGCTCTTTCTTTTATTTGCTCGGTTACTACATTCAGAACGGGGATGCGCTCTCATGGATCGATGGTCCGTAGGTTGCGCTCCTTCCATATGTCAAATGTGCCAAGCGGTCAAGACATGGGACTTATCAGGTCCACCATGGCGCTCTGTGGTTTAGGCTGCGTTTTTAAGGTAACCAATACTGTGGATGACCACCATTTTTTACGCATACCCCCTCCCTCGAAAAAAAAAATCAATCTTACATACGACCTAGACACATGAAGATAAAACCATGGCCAAGAAAAAGGGTCTGGTTCTCTTACTGCTTTCGTTTGGAGTTTGGTTAACGGTGGTGCTAATATTGTGTTTAGGTAAAATTGGTTATATAGCATTCAAAGCTCACTTTTTTGGTTTTATAACCGGTTCACTTAATAGCACACCCAAAGTTTACATTGTTCCTATTTTTAACACTTTCATCAAATATCGATCGTTTTCCATCCTTTTTTTTATCGCTATTGAGCCAGCCATGACGTTTCTACCCCTCTTTGGTATGCATTCCACTTGTACTTGTGAGGGATAGAAACGTCATATCACGTGCGGTGGCTGGGTCAATAACAATCAAGACGCACGGAAAACAATCGAGAATTGACGGAAGTGTTAAAAATAGGAACGGGTGAACTTTGGGTGCTATTAAAGTGAACCGGTATCTTTCGGTGCTATAAAACAAAGGAAAAAAGTACGAATTACCCCCTGAACTATTGCGGTCGGCCAAATTTCCCCCCTGAACCCGAAAACTAGACATTACTCACCCTGAACTTTCAATACCGGACGAATTACCCCCCTCGACCCAATCCAGAGCAGTTTTGTCCTACGTGGCGTACGCGTGGCAACTCAGTCAGCATTTCTTTTTTTTAAAACATGGTGGGACCACCTGTCATTCTCTCACATCTCCTCCTTTTTCTTCTTCCCCTCTTCCCCGCCTCTCTCTCTCTCTATCAGGCGCGGACGGCACACGAGGGCGGCGATGGGCGGCAGCGCGTCGTCTGGTGGGGCCGCATGGGCAGTCGGCACGCGGGGGCAGCGGTGGGCGGCAGCGTGTCATCAGGCGTGGCCGCGCGGGCGGTCGGCGCGCACGGCGGTGCGCAAGGGCTGGCGGTGGGCCGAGAAGATCGATCCTGATCCTCTCCGGCGGCCCCGTCTTTTTTGTTCTTGGTCATCAGGACTTCAGGAGAGATCGATCTCCTTGGTTTTGTCATCGTCAAGCAGCAACAACGGCACCTCGCTGGCTAGGTCATCGTCGACGGAATCTGCTCCGGTCTTCGCCGCGACCGCGGTCGACCTTGGGGCCTCCAGCCCCGACCTCCTCCTTCTCCGGTCATCGCCTTCTCCTGGATCATGCCGTAAGCTGGCTCTCCCTCGCCAGCGTTCGTTGGTCTGCCACCGCCGTCGACCGGCCCGAGCCACAATGTCCTCTGCAATGAGCCGGCGCCAGCGCCTGTCCGGGGTGCTCGTCGCTGCCGTTAGGACTTGGCCGCTTCCTCCATCGGCTCCGCCTCCCGGATTTTGTGGCGCAACCAGAGCCGCCTGCCGCGCTTGCTTGGTGCACCCAGCCGCGCCCGCCGCCACGCTTGCCTGTCGCGTTTACCTCGTGCACCCAGCCGCGCCCGCCTCCGCCTCCACCTCGCTTCTCTGCCAATGTCCCGTGCCGCTGTCCACTGCCCGCCCTCGCGTGCCGACCGCCCACGCGGCCGCGCCTGATGTCACAAGAGAGAGAGAGGGGGGAGAGGAAAAGGAGGAGATGGGAGAGAATGGCAAGTGGGCCCCACCATGTTTTTAAAAAAGAAAATGTTGACTGGGTTGCCACGCGTACGTCACGTAGGACAAAACTGCTCTAAATTGGGTCGAGAGGGGTAATTCGTCTGGTATTAAAAGTTCAGGGTGAATGATGTCTGTTTTTCGGGTTCAGGTGGAAATTCGGCCGACCACGATAGTTCGGGGGGATAATTTGTATTTTTTTCCTAAAATAAAAAAATGTGAACTTTTGATACTATATAACGAATTTTGCCTTGTTTTTAATGACCACCAGCAGATAGTCCGATGATTATAGAGCAGAAAAAAATTAAAAGGCTAGCACATTGAAAGGCAGTAGTTAGGAAAGAAAAAACCAACACCACCACGCACTGACAACACCTATACAGAATCAGGAGAACACTAGCATCCAACCGGCCGTCGCTTGGCCAACAGAGAAGCTACCACCGAAACCGCCCAAAACTAGCACCAAACAACGAGCATCACAACTCTAACCACGTCCATGGGATTAGAGGGAGAGAGTGAGATAGAAAATGGAATCGCTCTCCCCCACTAGGTCCACGGTGTTGCTAATATAAACTGTATAATAAACCCATGGCCAAGAAGAAAGTTCTGTTTTCTTAACGTTAGCAGTTCGAACATCAACTTAGCAGATAAGATATTTTTGCTATATATGCATCCGAGGGCAAAATCACAGTCCGCATCTACCAAGGCCGGAACCCCCGACACGAACCATCCTAGCTACAGTACCTTGTTACCCGAGAGCCCTGCATCGGCTATTCAAGGAACTGTGCAATCCACCAACCTGGCTCGATGCGTGGGGCGGCATGCACGATCTATCTCAAGTTCCCAACCCCTGCAATACGAATTGACGCCGCATCCGCCCGCACCCCCTCCCCAACCCAACACCGCGCCAGCCAGCACGCGACCGGCCGGAGCGCGCGCCGCACAACTCACTCCTCCGCGCTAGCTTGATGTGCCCTCCCCTTCTCTCTCACGGAGTCCGCGAGGCAGGCACACGGCAGGTGGGGCGCGCGCGCGCCCGCACCGTGGGCTCCCGCCCGCCTCCCGGTGCTTTCCTACAAGATTGGCATCGAAATAATGGACGTGCCGCTGGGGCTAGCCGCACATGGACATGTCCCCCCCCGCCTGGCCACCGGTTATCGATCGATCGCCCACCTTGCCTGCAGGGCCACAACCGCGCCCGCGCGCCGCGCTCCGCCAAAGTTAGTTGCCGGCCGGGGGAGTTCGATCGCGCCGGCGTTTCGTCTAGTGCGTGCAGAAGCGCGGGTTTTTCACCGGATCGTGGATCAGATCGGGTCGATGAATCCCATCGGGGTTTAGTGCGGTCGAGGAGGAGTTAATGACGGTCCAGTGCCTAGTACACGTCGTACTGGCCTGTTCGCGTACTAGCCCCGTTCGTCCCGTTCAGATCTCGTGGATGCGACGGGACGAGCCAAAACACGTAACGGTAGCGGCACAAAGCCCCTGATTAATGCAGGCCATTATTTTGTTTGTGGCTACCTCCCGGACCTTGGTTCTACTGATTAAATGATTGGTAAATTAGGCCAATCGGCCCGTAGCTGTGTAGTATTTCCTTCTCTCGCAGACCCACTAAACCCATAGCCTTAACTTAGTAGGCCCGTGATTACCTCCTTGGCGGACTTTACTTGGCTTCGTCGCAGCATGAATATTGGGGCATACAAGATGTGAAATTTGAGCACTCAATTGCTACGAAATACATTTCTCCTCCAGAAGGTCAAAGCTCTGCCATTCTAAAATTTCTGCTCATTAATATATCGGCCATTCAATTTGGGGGAACAAAAGAATACAAGAAACCCAAGGCGATCGAATGGCTGCTATATATGAAAATTAAAGGGCTTGGATCTAATCAAACTGAGGCTGCCCTTGTATTATCAAACCATCAATGTGGCTGATAACTCGACATGGACGCGTAGGGCCGGACTTGCGATCAATGGAGATGATGCATGCATGCTTGCTTGCATTCAGTCAGACCAGGTTCATGCAAGCCGGTCAGAGTGAGGGCTACTACTATCATGGATGAGTGGCAGAAGCAGCATCAGATAGCCGCCTCTTATTGTGGTAGGACATGAAGCGCATGGCGTGCCATAAGGTTCATGCACCCCCTGCTCGATTGGATATACTCAGTGTCCGACAGCCCAAAACAATGGCGATGCAAACCACCGCCCACACATAACAGACTAGCAGTGTCACCACCACTTGTGCAAGCAACATTTTTTTTAATGAACTCAACATTTGAGGTAGAGTATCATTCATATAACCGAATCGCACGATTCTACAGTGATATCCTATTGCAGATTGACATGATAGTAGAAAGAAGGAATCGCATGCATGCATAGTTACAACCACCAGATTTGGTGCATCACATAAACTTCCTCCGATCGATTGAACCAACGATCTCAGTATTTTAGCCGGAGAATCCCCTTAACACGAGCGCGACGAGAGACACGGGCATTATCCGGCTCAACCGAAGCCATGTGTTCTCCGTATCATGAGTTCATGACAAACTGGGCGATCGCTCGCTGAAAAAGGTCGCAGCGACGCGGATTCCGAAATGATACGTCGGTTGCGCACTTGCGCGCCCGCCCCAACCTTTATTAATCGGCACGTATGCTCGGCTCGACTCGATCGGTTGAATGATTTGTCGCCATCACAGCTGCAGTGATTGCGACCAGTACAACTGCAGCAGCCAGCCGCGACACGGAGAGCAACGGCTACGCCTCCAATCAATTCCCCCAATGCTGCGAGGGGAACCGCGCATTAACCAACATAGGAGTACAGTACATGCACATCTCCTAGCTAATGCACTGGTGGCTCGACGGAAACCGGAGAGGAGAGAGCGATTGGATCATTGCGAGGGGAAATGGAAAAGAGAGGCACGAGATTCCGTGCCAGCTCGAAAGAGCGCGAGAGAACGTGGGTCGGGTCGGCCGGGCTCGCTCGCCGTCCTTTTCTTCTCCCCCACCCAAACCCCATCGAAACAGCCAGGCGTGTGTGCGCGAGGCTATCCCCGCTTGTCGGACCGGCAAACCGATCAATCGATCGATGCATTACACGGGCTTACAGGCTACGCTCGCGCTACCGGCTCAATCATGCGCACGAGGCACGGCATGGCGACGAGGCATAGCCAGCTAGTGGAGGGAATGTAGCTAGGATACTTCCTGCAAGCTCCAAGTGGCTCGTGAATACAGAGGCTAGCTTAAATTGATTGTTTTCTTAGTTTGTCAGCTCTCTCCGCGCGGTACATAACACCGTACACGTACGCGCACCCGCCCGGGCGGGCGTGTGAGCGGTGTACGGACTTATCATTGAGACTGTCAGAGAGAGATGGCTCGGTGAAAGATACTAATCGGGCATGTGTGACTGTACATGCATGAGGCCTCGTTTTGTTCCTACATGGATGAAACGTCTGATCGATGTACTACTGATCAACTGGTGACTTTTGGCCGGTTGGTCTTGATTTCCTTGGTCGTATATATACCCTGTGCATTAAGGTATCTTGGCTGACTTAGGCACGAGGGAACCAGGTATGGGCAATTTCTATCGGTTGGTTATTTTGGTCGGCCAGGAAGAAAATTTGTTTTCCCTCTCCATGGCCGAATTAACCATGAGCGAAGTATCGATCGTATGGAGTACAGGAGTAGTAGCATTTAGAGATCGATACCACTATACCACTATCGGAAGTTTTGGTTGTGACGTCCACAATTCCACTCATTCAGGGCTCAGGGTCCAGCAGCGGTCGGCGTTGCATGGTTGACTGGCTGGTTCCCTGTGTCTGTCTCACCTTTGTGTTCAACTATCAGCCCGGAAGCTGCATATGTCTGTGTGTCTCAGTACCATCACAGTATCGCAATGTATTCATTGCGAGCATTTCAAAGATCTCGTAGTTGCGTTGTGCACTTTGGAGGGCCCAGCGTTTCGCTTGCTTCACGTCCGATAGTTTTTGCCACATTCGCTTGCTTCATGCTCTACCGCAAGTCTGCAACTGTGCTCCCTGTACAACTGTACAGTATAGTAGTATATACAGACAATTAAAGAGGTTTACCAGCCCAGTTGACCAATACCAACCGATCCTTACCCGTTCCTCTTGACATCACCCGTTGCCGTTCAATCTGACAGGAAAAACAAAACAAAGGGAAAGAGCAACCTAATGCTACAGTAGTAGTCATTCACTCTGCAACCAAATTCCAAAACTCAATGCATGCATGCATGCATGCGCAGACAGCACAGCCTCCTCTCCTCTCTCTCGCCTGTGACCTGTCCCTACCTTCCCCCACCACCTTCCTCCTCATCTCTCCGCCTCCGTCCCTACCACCTTCCTCAGCTCCCCGCCCTTTTCCGGCCAACTAGCTCCGCCTCCCTCCCGGCTTATATATACCGCTTCCCGCCCCGCACCACAACCCAACTCACATCTCATCTCTTCGCTGCTGCTACTCGAAGCGCACATATTCCCGGAGTTAAATCATCGGTACACCGTCTCAGAGCATTTTTCTCCTCACGGACAAGATGTGCAACTCCAACGTGAAGTCCGCCGGCGTCGCTCAGATCGACGGCCGCCCGGTGCTGCAGCCGGCGGGGAACCGCGTGGCGGCGCCTGAAGCTGCCCGGCCGCTCAAGAAGTCCCTGCAGAAGTCGCTCTCCATGCCGGCTTCGCTCGACAATGCTGCGGCCGCGACCACCTGCGCGGCGTCCCCCGAGAAGTCCCGCGCCGCCGACTTCGCCCGCGCTGCGGCGGCGTCTCTTCTCCCACCACCTACTCCAGCTTCGGTCAGTGCTAAGGCGACGAGGGTGTCTGGAGCCAAGGTGGCTGCCGCCAGGACTGCGGCGGCGGCTGCGGCCATGGGGGGCTTGGACAGGAGCAGGAAGCCCGCCAAGAAGGGCGGCGCCGCCGTGCTGCCGGTGGTGACGTTCGCGGGGCTCGAGGCGTACGAGCCCGCCGGGAGCATCGCGGCGGCGCAGCGGGAGCACGTCGCGATGGCGCAGGCGCAGCGCAAGATGCGGATCGCGCACTACGGCCGCACCGCGTCCTTCTCCCGAGTCGAAGGGAAAGTCAGCGCTACCGCGACGGGTGCCGCCGAGCTCGTCGCCGGTGCCGTCACCGGGCATGACGAGAAGCGATGCAGCTTCATCACTCCATATTCAGGTGCGCACACACGACACCACACAAAACAATTTACACTACTGCGAAATTAACTCTTAACTAATACGCAATCGTTCATGCGCAGACCCCCTGTACGTCGCCTACCACGACGAGGAGTGGGGTGTGCCCGTGCGCGACGACGAGTGAGTTTGCCCTTCTTTTTTTTGCGAATAATACAAGCATCCGATTGCTTTGCAACAGTTCTCCTCACATTTCGTGCCAACTGAAACGACAGGTTGCTGTTCGAGATGCTCACGTTGTCCGGCGTGCAAGTCGGGGCGGACTGGACCTCGATCCTGAAGAGGAGACACGTCTACAGGTTCGAAAACAGAGCAACCCAATCCATACTCTGCTGCTAAAGATGAAGCCATCCGTGTGATACCAGTAGTATATTGGTGCTGATTTTGCGTTGCTGCTTGCTTGATCACAAATAGGGAGGCATTCTCCGGTTTCAACGTGGACGCTGTCGCCAAGTACACGGAGAAGCAGATGGCATCGCTAAGCGCCGAGTTCGGCCTGGATTTGGGCACCATCAGAGGCGCCGTCAACAACGCCTGCCGGATTTCCGAGGTACTGTCACCTGCATCTGCATGCCAAGCTACTAGTACTATCAATTAAGCCCATGATCTTTCTGAACTTGTCCTCAAGCAAGAACGTTTCCATTCCTAGTAATCAGGACATTTGACAATTCTAACAAGCTCGTCGTCCTATTCACTGACGTGCGATGTCCCAAAACTGTATTTTTCTTTAGATAGTTCACATAGAGCCCATACTCCTCAGCTTATTTTTTTGCATTTCCATACTAGTGTTTAATTTCCGGTTGATGAATAGACCGGATGAGACAGTACCACAACTTGACAACCGAAACTTTACCAAAAAGAAAAAGGGAGGTCAATGAATGAATGCTTGGGAAAGAAAGGTCAGTTAAGTGAAAGCGAAGCCTAACAGAATCCCTGACAGCTTACGCCCCCTCATGGTAGACAGCTCAATCAGCAGCTGCAGGGCCCTTTAAATGCCACTAGTAATTTGCAGAATCAAAGCAAAGTGCGTGGTAAAGTACAACAAAAAAGAGCGAACACTTCCTAGCTAATTGGCATTTGACACCCAAGAGCTAGCCTGAAAGGCAGAAAGAAGCTACTCCCTCCGGTTGGTTTCATATTAATTAACGTTTTAGACAATGTTGATGTCAAACTTTTACTTTTATAACTTTCACCATCAATAACTTTAAAAATATTTAGTTTAAAGGAACTATAATAACATATATAGATTTGTCTTTTAAAGCACTATAATAAAAGTAAATATGCATTTATTTATTATATATATTATAGTAAAAAAATAAGATCAAAGATATATTTTATAGACCGTGTTATTGTACAAAACGTCAATTAAAATAAAACCGGAAAGAGTACTAGTACTTGCTGTCAATCTTTTGGCTGAAGCCTTGCTTCGCGCCATCACGAAGGAGACACGGCTAATTAACTGTGCGCAACTGTTCTCTTTCGTGTTTAGTTGGCAAAGGGTTTCTGCACACGATGCATCGCTCTTGCACAGCTAGCGATCCAATATTCGGAGTGCAATCAACTATACCTAGTTTAAGTACGCTTAGTACGTAGCTGACGCCAACTAATCTATCAGTAAGTACACTGACCAGGGATTATCTTATTTTCGTGAGGTTAATTAGGTACGTATATACCTAGTACCTACTCAAATTCTACGTACAAGCAGTAGTTGTTATATATAAGTGTATATGCAGTGGAAGAATGGAGGGAGAATCTAATGGTGTACTTGATATATTCGATGAAACAGGTGAGGAGGGACTTCGGGTCGTTCAGCAAATACGTGTGGGCGTTCGTAAACAACAAGCCGCTGTCGCCGAGCTACAAATACAGCCGGAAGATCCCGGTGAAGACGTCCAAGTCGGAGTCGATCAGCAAGGACATGGTGCGGCGCGGCTTCCGGTTCGTCGGCCCCACCGTCATCCACTCGTTCATGCAGGCCGTCGGGCTCACCAACGACCACCTCGTGTCATGCCCGCGCCACCGCGTCTGCTCCTCCTCCTCCGCTTAACCGATCTGACCATCGCCAAAACAGTTACCGGCCAGCTCCCCGAAGGAAGCAAGGAGAAAAAACAAGAAGGAAAGAGAAAAAGTGAGAGATGAGATAGCCTCAAGTAGTAGTATACAGAACGGGTATTGATTTGCGAGTGTGTGTATGTGTGTGCTTGTGTAGATTATTGTCCCTAACTAGGCAAGAAGCTTGATTGTCAATTACGTACGTATCACTTGGTGCGTGTCTTTCTTTTTTCTCTTTCCTTCATGTCTCGAGATAGAGATAGGGTGACGATCATTAGCGGGGTGGGCTACCCCAATCCCCAGTGCATGTGGCTTGATTAAAGCGGGATGAGATAGGCTCACAGTCACACAGGCAGGCAAGCAAGCAGGGTCAGGCCATGTGCTGCCGGCAAGCGCATGTGTAGGTGAGAGAGGGAGGGGAAGAAAAGCCTGCGCATGTGACACTGCAGCTCTTGCTCTCGCTAGCTCGTCCGTCCACCCGTCCGCGCTGTGCGCGCAGATGGGCGGACGCAGCGACGGACCCAGCCAGTGCACCATCCGGGCCACCGCGACACGCAAACACCTCCGGGCAGCCATGTCCACCGGGCCATTACTCCGCATGCACCATGCGCTGTATCATAGGATTTTCATCTCCGTTCCATCACGAGCTCGCGACGACCAAGCTGGAAATACGGCATCTATAAACGTCACCAAAATGTACCGGCCAGCAGGGTGGATCCAGGAACAAAATTTTTTTTTTGAGGGGCTCAATTACACTGTTTCTTCAACCTCCAACTATTTAGGGACTTTTAGTTTATTATTCATGATGAAAAAAATTGAATGAGTGCTCCGGAGGTATCCATGGGTTTTGTCACCCACGTTGGATCCGCCCCTGCCGGCTACCAAGTCGATCTGTTAACAAAGTAATATAGCATGTCATAGTGCCAATGTCATGCTGCAATTTTTTTATATAAAAAGTAACCAACGAAGTGGTTCTCACGTAGTATGTCTTTTAATATTGATCATGTGATCGATCATTCGACGACTCTGTTTGTGTACCGGTATGTTGATGGCGAGAGAAGCAAAGTGCGTGGTACAATTTTGTTTCGTTTCGGTGCGCGGTTGTCGTGCGAGTGATGTCACTTTCCTTCATCGCTTTGGACGGATGTACGTACGTCGCATGCACGCTTGCGCTAGCTGTTTGGTCTCGTGCGCACATCTCCGCGAGAATCTTGGCATGTGCCGAGCCTTTTTCATCTGTCTAGTGTTCTTGCTTCTTCGTCTCCCTGCTCCTGCAGTTACAGGTTTCAGCCTTGTTTATCATGAAATGAGCTAGCGCTGCCGTTGGCGGTGGTTCCGTGGTTCTCTTCACTTGATGGGTTTTTCTTTATCATGATGGGAACAGCCTGTGTGTAATTGATTGTTGGTTAAGCCGGCCCATTACCTTGCAACTGACTGGCCTTGCCATGCATGATTGAGCTGGACGGTTCTTGCTTTGCCATGCTTACTCGGATTGGCATATATACATTGTGATGCTACCGCTACTCATGTCTGGTACTTCTATCATTCGGAACCATGTTTTGCCGGTATTTTAATACGTCATCCATATATGAGTCAGTTTTTAAGTTCATTCTTTTTCGAAATACATATCCGTAATTAAATTAGTTTTTAAGTTAGTTCGCTTTTGGAAATATATAAGAAGTAGACTTTTATTGCAGCTCATGATTTTCTAAAAAAACATATATCCTAGCGAATTCCCAAAGTGAATTTCACCTTAACTAAACTGTATAACAATAATAAAATTAAAATAGTCTTCACCTGTTGCAACGCACGGATATTTTTTCTAGTTAAAAAAAGTTAATCCTAGCTATGAATCTAGACGCATACAGTTTATATTTGTAGCAAGATTTGGACTTTTTTTTTTTAAGGGAAGGAGTATGACAGAACTTTTCATCAGTCACAACCAACTAACCGTGCACGTCGGTTACTCGGTTTACATCATCCTTCGCTGCAATTTCAGTATCAGATCGTACGGAGCAGTGGGCACAGCGGATATGGAGCAATTTCAGCCGTGAATGTGAGTGACCACGTCTCTCCCTCAAGCTAGCACGTACTGCTTGCATTTCGTAATTGCATCATTTTTTTTTCTTTTCTGTTCAATGCAGTCCACTTATTACTCTTTGATAACACCAAATAATATAGCAGGATTTCCAGCATTCTGTGGTAAAAGCGCGTACCTTTGCTACTGAGACTAGCTAGGCCTTCAATCTTTTTAGACGTGTGCTTGAAATCACCCACCTAAGGTGTGTGTGGATGTGAGTGTGGTATGTGCATGATGTTTTACATCCAACTTGTATTAAAAAAGCAAACAGTACAGTTACAGAATTAAAAAAAAGTGTTCTATATGGAGGGGGTCAAAATTGGGGACTATATTTAGATATACTAGCTAAATGCCCGTGCTTTGCTACGGATACAAGAAAAAATATAACAATATTTTCTAACATAAATAAATCATATTTTCTATGAAATATAGCAATGTGGGCTATCCATATTAATTTTATATGTGGCTATTCATTTAGATTTAGTTAGATTTAGTTGCTATGTAATATTAAGAAGTTCAAGGGATAATATGTTTCAACGGGAGTAGGTGGGGTGACAAATTCACTGCCATTATCATTGGAGTCTTTTTAAAGGAGTATAGATATCTCAACTTGGCATGCACAAGTAACAAGTTAAGCATGACAAGCCTAGTTAGACTATTATTGTTTGTTGCTTTATCACATATTTTTAGCCTTTAGAGGAAGTTCTCCGAATGTTGCCCCATCCACTACTACACGTCCCATTAATTATTTCTCATATATATAGCTAGTAGGGTGATCCGCGCAATTGAGCGGCTAGCACCGAGACATATTTACTTATGTAATTTATTATTATTATTTTACATATATGGTTATGTTCAAAATTTATTAAATAGTTGAATCGTCATGTTAGGATCTACAAAAGAAATCGAATCTTATCTTCGTCGAGTTTCCAATTTTATCGTTTTCAAAAGTCTACCCGTCACCTCCGTCCTACTAATGTGTCATGCCTCCACTTGCTCGCTTGCCGCCCCTGTAACCCTATTTGTTGTCCTTTGGACCTTAAAAAGTTATACTTTGTGTCGATTACTCTTGCCCTACTCCTTTCCTGCCCGTTCACTCACCGGCCCGCTACCTCTCCTCTTTGCTATTATTGGGATTTTGAAAATCTAATTTTATTATCAATGGGCCCTATTTTGTAGTTTTTAGAAGTCGTGCTAGCACTGCGGATCTACTCCTCTGCTGCCCCTTGGTTCTCCTTTTAGCCCCTCCCCGACCTCATCACTTGGAGATGTGTTGAATATTTTGAGACCTTTTACAGTGTTTGCATTCCAAAAGGAGTAAAGATCCAACGCTCCATAATGAAAGGTACCCTGTAAAAGGTATTTGAGTATTGGCATAGGCACTTAGGTAACAAGGGTAAAAAGATAAATTTGCTAGTAGAGAGGAAAGGAAAGAGTTGTCCGCAAATTCAGATCGGTACCGCGTCGGTACCAGTTAAGTTGCATGGTACTAGCATTAAAGTTCTTATTTACGTGGTTTTCTCTAGATTTACATTTTTGTTTCCAAGGACATGGTAGAACTCTTCCCATTAATTCTCCATTACGTTATTTGCATAGTTATTTTGATATTTATATTTTGTTCCCAAGAACATTAAAATATCACTCAAGGTTTACGTTTTAAGTTTTACATTTTATTCGTGGAAAAAAGAAAACTGTAGATAAAATATTCCTAATGATTGCATCCATCTGAACATGCTATGTTAGGTTAACCAACAATATCAGAGCTTCTCTCTTGACCCTATCTCCTTACAGGTTCACCTATTCAAACCCTAGAAGAAGAACAGATGAGAATATCTTATTTTAGTCCCTTATATGAAGGAATTTGTTAACTATGTAAATAACGAATCAATCGTGCAAATAAGTATAGGAGCAGAGGAGATCTTTCCCGATGCGCTTGCACCTAGCCGTCGATCGGCCCATCTTGAACCCTCAACCGTGCCGATTTTTCTCTGGACCAATTCAAACCCTAGAACCAGAACGAAGTCGGGGTCAAAGAAATGAGGCGTTGATCTTTTTTTTCCCGGTGCAGAACTGCAGATCAATCGATGCATTAAATTGTTCGAAAGATTTACTTTGTTTTCTACCTAACAATTCCAGTGATTGCACCCAGGTATTCGATTCACTCAAAATGCTCCAGGTATTCGATTCACTCAAAATGCTCATCTTTTAGTAGTTAATTACTCCATTGCTATTAGTTATGAAAATTTTATTCCATACTTGCCCCTCTTTTAATCAATGGTTCACATTGTTCCACCTCTCAATACCTTCAAGTACCTCGCAAACACCGTAAAAGGTCTCTTTTTGTTTAGGCACTTGGTAAGTTATCACTTGTATTTGCTACTCGGTTGCCTCAAGGTCTTTTCCCCAGCAAGGTTGAGACATGGCCTTGTTCCGCGCAATTACACAGCTAGCACCCAAATAAAATCATATATTTTTTAAGTATGATTTTACTTAAAGTTTATTAAATAGCTATCCTGTTGTTTTAAGACTTTGAAAGACCAAACCTTATCATCCCCGTGTTTTTAATTATATAGTTTTTAAAAGTCACACCAGTTGATACCCTTACTTCTTTCATCTCCTTCTTTATTTGCTTGCTCGATCTACCACTATTTCTATTCATTCTCCTTTGAATCTTTATAAATTGGACTTATAGTTTTTAGAGTTTATTATGTCATTGGGTTTCGTTTTTATAATCTCTAGAAGTCCCATCAAACGCTGCCATTATGCTCCTCTATGGTCCACTGTCTCTTCTCTTTATTGTCAATGGGATTTTAAAAATCGAACATAATTATTGTTCGGGTTCATTTTTTTACTTTCTAGAAGTCTCGCCAAACCGTCAGCGACTTTGCCATTGTACTCCTCTAGGGCTCGCCCGTTGCCTCTCTTCTTTATTGTCATTGAGATTTCAAAAATCGAACATGATTATCATTGGGTTTTTTTTACTTTTTAGAAGTTCCAAACTGTAACGCTCCACTTTTCGCGAAACATTAAAAACTAATTCGGCAAAATCCTATATGCGAAAATTTTTGTTCTTTGTGTGCGAGTCTAAGTTGTGCTGTGGATCTCAGTTTTAATCCCCTTGTTCACTCTCGTCGAAATCAAA